ATCTACGTTGGAAAGACTTCGCATTTGGCTCCCTGAGTTTTATAGATTGTCTTTCCATTATAAATGATTTGAATGTGAGGAAATGCTGTACCATTATATGCCTGTCAAAGGTTTTGTTTGGTGAGTTGCTGAGGCTAAACTTTTACGCTTTGCCTTTGTTAAAAGGGCTGCCCTGTCCGCTTCAGAAACAAAAGGATGGGAAGCTGGTAGATTTACATAGATTTACAACAAGTTCATGGTAGATTCCACCTGTTTTCCACCCATTTATAGTTTCTATACGAGCTATTACTATTACACATCTATAATTATCTGTTTTTTTTGCTTTAGGGATAATTCGTGATAGTTCCAGATGATGATAGGTGGAATCTATAGGCTATTTACACATCTCTCCATTTTTTTACAGATTCCACGATATGACCATCAATATGGCCCCAGTAGTTCACTACTGCCTGGGTTTCCCAGGAGCAGCACCCTGGAGTTTCCCATCAAGGACAATCTGCTTTTGTTGTGGTTGTCGAGTTGTCGATGAATGTGTCTATCGGATATTTTATTGGGGATCTGATCCATGTATTTTTTTGTTTCCATTAATCTGGGTATCTATATATTGCGTAAATAATATTTAGTATATCATTAACCATATATATATATACTATATATATATATATTAACCATGACCATCTATATTGATATATGTTCCATCTATTACGATAGATATCCCTTGTCCATCCCTTTTCCATTCTAATTGTATTTTGTTTTTTTTCCTATCTATCGGTCAATGTATCTAGGACAATCCTTTGTTTCCCGTCACCAAGTCTTGTTTTTCTTTTTCCAGTAGGGTCTTGTTCTTCTTTTTTCAGTAGGGCTTTTCGTTCTGTTAAAAAAAAAAAAGATTTGGTGAAAATTTCGCCAAGTGCATCAGAAACTGCACACGGACTTATTAAGATTAAAATCTCCATGTTTAACAGTTGAACATGTGTATTTATATATATATATATACTATATATTTTTTATATATATTTATATATTATATATACAGTATATTATATATATAGTATTATATATATATGTATACTTTATATTATATATTATGTATTATATATGTATTATAATGTATTGATCCAAGATTTCCCCAACAAAACACGACCGCATTGGTGAAATCATAGGAGGAAGGCACCTTCTCGGGCTTCGCCATGTGGACGAGGGTCATGGTGGATGACCAAGACATCATCGAAGTACGGGGGCAGCCGGTGCCTTGGCGCATGGGCCATGGCGGCCGTCTCGGCTGGTCTCGGATGAAATTGGTGACCTGGTTTTTGACCAACTGGTTAGTTGGGGGCTTGTGCTAAGACAAGTGAATCAGATTTCTGGGGTTTGTCCCTTATAATTTGGATTCATTTGGTGGTGTTGTGTATGAAAGCCATTTTTTAACATCCCCACAAGGAGAGCGACGGAATTTTCGGGCTACCAGAGGTTGCGCATGTTGTGAACCACCAATCACACATTTGAACTGAATGGCCATAATGGTATTGGATCATATTGGACCCCCATAGGCTATTGTAAGTTACCCTCTGGTAAACATACAAAAAACTATGGAAAATCACCATGTTTTATGGGTAAGTCCACTATTTCTATGGCCATGTTCAAGTTCCGCACCTGGATTTCCGGGCGCTAGTGATTTTCCATGAAATAAAGCATCCAGCTATTGGGGTACCTCCATTGATGGAAACCCCATGAACCCCCCATATATATATATTATATATATATTTATTTATTTATATATTCTGGTTGGTGGTTTCAAACATTTGGATTATTTTTCAATAGATTGGGAATGTCATCATCCCAACTGACTTTCATATTTTTCAGAGGGGCAGGTCAACCACCAACCAGTATTGAATCATATATGAATTCTATGTTCCTGTGGTTTTAAGTTTTATTTTACATATACACGCACAAATGTATATACATATATTCAATGGCCATTTCAGGAACCGATTTATTGGAGGTACCTACCATATATGTTTGGCCTATTGTTCAGGCCTAAATTTCAGGGAATATCCCCACAAAATATGGTCTTATATGGTACTGACGTAGCTCCATTTTGGGATCCTGAAATTCCCGTTGAACTCCTGCGCTTTTCTGGAAAATGGTACAGTACCTCCATTTTTGGATCCTGAAATTCCCGTTGATATGTGTAATGATCATAATATAAATAATATACATTGAACCATGCTCGAGCTTGGGAGCATGACGAGCCTAGCGTAGCGTAGTTTTTGCAGGTTTCGTTGGATCATTTCGTTGGTGCTGAAAGCAGATCCTCAAAGTTGTATGGTTTTTTCCCCATCAAAAACATTCATCTTCATTTGTATCCATGGTCATCCCCAAGAAGAGTATGACGACTTTTTTCCTTACGCAACTTGATGATGATAGAATGTGTTTGTGCATATATGCAGAATTTTCGTGTTAACCGAAATATTGGGGATGGTTTATTATTGGCTTTGCCCAACGTGTTCCACCAACGTTCGTGCGTCGTGGCTCTTAGGACAGTCATTGGGCCTACGTTGTGGCACTGATGACACGCTCACCGGTGTCCGTCGAGCCTGGTGTCATCAGATTGGTGCCATGGCAGCATGAGCCCAGCATTGGGGAAGCCTGGGAATAATGGGGGTTAGTATGGATTACCATCTGGTTATTTAACATAGCCATGGAAAATCACCATTTTTACTAGGCAAACCATCTATTTCTATGGTCCATTTTCCATGGCTATGTTAGTCATAACCAGAGAGTAATGGCAATTCTATCTATCGGGATGGGGATTAGGGATTATTTGATAGAAAACCTATCCTGGCCTAATAGGCTTTAATAGGGATATATAGTTTTTTTTCCAACGGAAAAGCATGAAAAGTTGTGGATTTTCCAATATTGATCATCAAAAGTTGGTGCTTTTCCATTGCGAAAAATTGCTGGAGGGTAACCATCGAACATAGGGGCATGACAGTGCAACAATGTAGCAATTCATGGAAAGATACCCGGCCTGGTAAACATACAAAAAACCAACTGGAAAATCACCATGCTATGAAAATGGGTAAATCCACTATTTCTATGGCCATTTTCAATAGCTATGTTAGTTTACCAGAGGGTACTTGGAAATAATGGGATGTACCCAGCAAGATAATTTCCAGGGGGCCGAGAGGATGTACGAATCATTTCCGAAGGCCGACTCAACCATGATGGTTTCCATATCTATCTTAACTTGCTGGAGGGCATGTCATTTGTGGTTTTCTCATATTTTTCAGGTATGACTATAATGTAGATGAATGGATGGATAGACAGATTGATCGATCGATAGACATTCTTTGATAGAAAATATGGAAGCCACGGCTGAATATTGATGTATAATACTGATATACTGTATAATGTACTTGGTTTCTTTGAAAATGAATGGACCTTTATGAAAGATTTGTTCGCAACATGTCCATCCCCAGCTGGCCTTTTTTTTCCAAGTCTGCTAAGTTTGGAGTTGGCTTTTCCCTGATTGATTCCCATTTGGTTGGTGGTTTGGAACATGTTTTATTTTCCATAATATATGGGATAATCCTCCCCATTGACTAATATTTTTTCAAGATTGTTAAAACCACCAACCAGATATGTTTTACTTTATCAATAAAACAATAAACGTTTTGTGTTTTTTATTGAATGATAACTTCCCATTTTTTCGAGGCTGGCTGATGGTAACTCCATGTCCCATAGCTCCCAACTCGCGCCTCGGTGAAGGTGAGTGACATCGACTATGCGGCTTCACCAGTGAGTTATAGTTTCAGCGCAGATGTCCCATAGATTCAGCGCCGATTTTCCTGGTGAAAACTGCCGGAGAATTTCAGGATCCTAAAGATGGAGCTACGTTAGTACCATATGTTGGAGCATATTTTCTGGGGATATTCCCTGAAATTTAGGCCTGAACAATAGGCCAAACATATATGGAATCGGTACCTCCAATTTGTATCGGTTCCTGAAATGGCCATGGAGGAGTTCCAAACATTGTTTTCCGATGTTTTCCGTGTCCATATGACTGGCCAAGATCCCCATGGAGGCGCAACTTGGTCAGCATCGGCCAGCACTTCTCTACGATGATCCCCGGGAGTTTGTCAAAAACAAACGGAAGATTTGATCGAAGTTGTCATCCCATTAATAGTGGTTAATAGTGGTTAATAATGGTTAATAATGGATAATAATAATGGATGTTACATAATATAACTATATCTGGTTGGTGGTTTGGAACCATGGAATTTTATGACTTTCCATTCAGTTGGGAATAATAATCCCAACTGACGAACTCATATTTTTCAGAGGGGTAGGTCAACCACCAACCAGACACACATGTCAAGTATATTCACAATTATGAAATCACACATGTATATCATAGACATTCATGGGCTGGATATGATATTCTGTGTTTTGCAGCACTTTGTATATCACAAGTTTTTCATTCACTAGTATACGTCATCTTCAATGAGGTAAAATGACAACGTGCAATCTTTACCTCATTATGTCATTGTACAGCTTGTAGTGTGTACAGAGCCCAGTGTTGCTAATATCATAGAATTGGACGATGGGAAAATTTACAGGAAAGCCCTATATTTGATGGTAAAAACCATGGTCCTGTAGATTTTCCCTTAAACCAATCCAGTTATAATATCATGGTACAGTACTTCAGCCAGTATGATTTTTTAAGGATCCAATCCGACGGCCGGGACGGCCGGGACGAGGACTGCGACTTGAGCATGGCGCCAAAACAAAAAGGTGACAGGAGAGCATCGATCCCATTGAGATTCATGATTGATGTGTAGAATTTGTATGAATATGTAAGGAATATGTAGAATGTCTATGTAAATATGTAAGAAATTGAGGTTTCTGCACTATCACGTGCCATTTCGATTCTGTATGCCCTTTCTGAAGCCTTTCGCCTTACCCAGCGGCGTTACCTCCAGCGGCGTTCCCTCCAGGCGGATATCAACTACGCCTACCGTCAGCTCTCACGAGCCTTGCAGCTTGACGGCAGCCCTGAGACAGTTGGGCTTTCCAGCGGGCTTTGCCCGGTAAATCCACGGTTGAGCCATCGGAATCGTTAGAAAAACATATAGAAAATAACAGGGTTCCTACAATCAGGGTTGCTCCGACCTATTGTAGGTATCAATTGATCATTTCCTTTTCCATCCATACCTGTTATGATGGAACCCAGTTGACAAACAACAATCCTTGAATTCCTTTTTCTTGACAGTTGCACACTGGGAGTGATTGAAGCATGTCAAAACAACTTATGGCAGGAGATGTTAACAATTAATCATTGATGTTAACAACTAATTCTCCCAACCATCCAGTGATGAACTCGGGTTCAGAACTTAAGGGAGAACGGAGACTTGATTGGGATCGAGATGGACCGAGGCACCCGGACAAAAATCCTGACATCCCAGAGGCGGCGGGAGATGCCAGAAATAGATCGCAAATCCATCGAAATTAGGAATGCCTTGTTGCAATTTCAATGGGAATTCCAGGATATCCTCTTACATAGGCCTGAACTATAGGCCTTATATATGGTAGGTACCTCCAATAAATCGGATCCTGAAATTCCCATTGACAATTGCCTTCAGTTCTGGGGTGACTGGCATCACCTTTCTTCATAAACAAATCCATATTGGGTAAACATTTCCATGTTCAAAAAGTCATGAACACTTCATACATATATCATATATCATATAACTCATATATATATATCATATTTCTGTAGGCTAAATCACATGTTTGTATGTCCGGCACGGGCCATTCACATCCCGACTTCGAAGCGACTTCGTTGGGCGACCGAAGCGACCAGGCGCACGACGCCTTCAAGCGCCTGACGGATGCCTCTGCGGAGCTCAAAGAAGGCGCGGATTATCCGTCGGATGTGTAGAAGCTGAGCTGGGTAAATGGTGGTTTAATGGTGGTAATTTGCATGGGATTTAACTATGAAAAATGGTAACTTAATGGGATTTAACATGATTTAACTATGAAAAATGGTAGTTTTTCATGGGATTGAACCAACCAAAATCTGGTGATTTCTAGATGGGATTTTTGCCTCTGGTAATTTGTTACAGTTTGCTATGGTATGTGTATACATATGTATATATATGGTAATGTGGGCAGAGGGTAAATGTGGGTAATGTGCAATGGTAATGTGATGTGGGTCAAAACAGTTTAATGGTAAATGTGTGTTTTACCCACATCCAGTCTATAATATTACCATGGTATAAAAAACATGGTGTGATCAGGCTGGGATATAGGATTATAGGATGATTAATGAGGATTATATAGGATTATATAGGATTATATAGGGATTATATAGGGATTATATAGGGATTATATAGGGATTATGTGATGATTAATGGGATGATTGATGTGGGTAAAACAATGCCATTTTTACCGCCCATGAACTGGGAATGGTAAACATACCACCATGACTGTGGAATGGTTTATTATTGTTTTACCCACATTATTAAACATGTGGTGAAACTTAATATCAGATACGTTATTACTGATCATATACTAAGCATATGTGAAATCATGTGAAATACCAGATCAACCGATGTCAAACGATATTAAGTGTTAAAACCTATGAAACCATCAACTATGGTATTTTATGGGGTTAATGGGACGTTTTTTGGGGATGTGAATTGGATTTCCCAGTTTAATGGAATGTAAATGGGACTCAACCATCAATGTGTTGCAGTGCTTCTGGGATTCAATACGTATCAAAGCTACCCTCGGGTAAACTAACAGGTTGCTATTGAAAATGGCCCATAGAAATAGTGGATTTACCCATTTTCATAGCATGGTGATTTTCCATCGTTTTTTGTATGTTTACCATGTCGGCTATGTTTAAACCTACTGCGGGATATGGTTTCTGATCGCGCAGAACTGCAAATCCGATCGCACCCTAAAAAACTGGATGAACTACAACGCCGCAGAGCGACGTCATTGGAATGATGGAAATTGCCCATCCAATTTTTCCATGGAAATTCCCATTGGAATTTTGGAAACTATAGGGAACACAACAATTGTTGGTGAAATATTGTTCCCTACAACCCGGCCGAACATTTGTCATATTTTGTCACCAACTGGGAGATGGATCCTCTGCGACTCTGCGACATCCCAAAATGGCCGAACTTTTCGTTGCTGACTTATACCCTCTGGTTTTTTTAACATAGCCATGGTATAGATGGCCCATTTATAGGTGATTTACCTACTATAGATGGTGATTTTCCATAGCTATGTTAAATTACCAGAGGGTAGTTGATTGATATTGATTGCAGAGTAGTTGCTTCGCAGTTCTTGTGATTTGTCACATGTTTAGTTCCAGCAGTGTTTGGGCAAAGCGTGGGCAAGATTGGTCAAACGGCCGCGAGATATCGCATCTACCCGAGTTGGGCAATTTCAGCTCAACCCTGGAAGTTGGAAACATTGCAAGATCTTGTTTCCCGTAGCAACGAACATGTTTCCCCAAAGTAAACCTTGGTTTAGTAGTAGATGTGATTTACTTTAGTTTCAACTACATGTGTTATCGTGTTCTATTCCATGTTATTCTGTAGTTTCTGGGTGTTCATTAGTAATGGGAATCATTAGACATGGGTTCAAGAAAAAGTGATACCCTCTGGTGAACTAACATAGCAATGGAAAATCACCATTCTTAATGGGAAAATCCACTATAAATAGCCATTTTCCATTGCTATGTTAGTTCACCAGAGGGTACAGTTCCTGATGATGATGCTCCAGTTACTGATGTTACATCCACGAAACGCTACGCCCACGGAGGTCTGGAAGAGCAACGCAGTGTGCTACGCGTGCCTTTGCTAAAACGTGTTTAATTAGTTACCATGTATCCGTTTGGAATTCAATGCTGTTGCTGATTTCCTATGTTTACGCAACACAAAACAAAGCAATTTCCAGTATATAACTTATTCAAACATTATTCGTTGGTTTGACTAGTTTGATGCACGTGTTTACTGTTTACTTGATAATGTTTCTCTTAGTGGGATTTAGTGGGGGGGTTGTTTTAAGACAAGAAAACAATAAATGCCAAGCCAAGGCTCTGTACCTTTCGTACTGAAACAACACATGAAACATATGAGTTTTTGTGCTCTTTGACCTGCACAACAACGTCGTAGGTAATCGTGTGTAGTGTTGATAACTGGTTGGTGGTTGACCTACCCCTCTTAAATATAAAAGTCAGTTGGGATGATGAAATTCCCAATATATGGGAAAATAAAAAATGTTCCAAACCACCAACCAGTAATGTTTTAATTTGGCAGTTGAGTTGACTCCACCCTTCAGTTGATGCTCCTGTGGTAGCAAGGGCTGTCCGCAGTCCAGCTATGGGGCGTTAAAAGCGCAGTCTGAGACAGGGTCCAATCGAAGGAGTTTAATGCAGAGCATGTGGGGATTCATTTCTTTCATAGGAAAGTATAGGCAAACTCTGGCCTTTACAGAAATTGTACTGCACGTCATTGAATCTACGATCTCCGATATCATCAATATCTACATCTTTTAAGTGAGCATTTTTCAACACTATACTTCCTATATCTTCCTATAATCTTTGGCCAAAAAAAAGGAGAAATGTGGCGTTTCGAACCGTTTCCCCCGGGTTGCCACAGGCGCTGAGGTGCCTGATGGTGCCAGACCGCACAGGGCAGTGAGTTCAGCACCGCGGTCGCAGGCCATTTGCCTCGTCATGGGTACGGTGGTGACGCCTGAGATGACCGAGCGGCCGCAGGAAGCACTCTTCGCAGAGGCGGCGGCATCGGTGGCATCGGTGGATGGATGGGATACATAGCTATTGAAAATGGCCATAGAAATAGTGGATTTACCTATGACAAATGGTAATTTTCCATAGCTTTTCTATCAATGGATTGGTTTTGTTGGGAAAATCTTAACCGGAAACTATGGTTTTTAGTTTTTACCATGAAATTGATCGGGTTGTCCGGTTAAAATTTTGCCATCATCCAATTCTGTGAATTATACCCTCTGGTTATGACTAACATAGCGAGCCATGGAAAATCACCATGCTTTTTCAGAGGTAAACCGTCTATTTCTATGGGCCATTTTCCAGAGGGTATCTGGTTGGTGGCTTGGAACATGTTTTATTTTTCCATAGATTGGGAATGTCATCATCCCAACTGACGAACTCCATCATTTTTCAGAGGGGTAGGTCAACCACCAACCAGTAATTTGATTCAATGTTTGATCAATTTTGTATTACGTGAGAGGTTCACTTTGTATTAAGGCTGGTGCGAATGTTGTATCTTGGGTTCAATTAATACGTTAAGGGTGATACGTTGTTGTGCCTTTCAACTATTCACTGGTTGGTGGTTTCAAACATGTTTTTTTTCCATAATACAGTGTGGTTTCGGTTCGGTTTCGGTTTCTAGTATTTGCTATAGGCCCTGTTCGGTTCATGTTCGGTTTCGGTTCCTGCGGTTCCTGATCGATTTCGGTTCGGTTCGGTTCGGTGTTTGCAACATTCTGCATTGATATTTGCTTTTTTTCCGGCGTCGGAAAAGCAAATACAGATTGCTTCCCGCAAGAGGTTTATTGCTTCTCGCAAGAGGTTTCATGAGCAGCGGCTTTCAAAGAGCGGAGAGAGCTGAACTCGGAAAACCAAAGCTTCCTGAAACATGCATGCAATTTATTGTGAAGAAACCCATATTTGTTTTTTTCATTGAACTCAAGAATACAACTTTTCCAATAAGTTTATTGGGGGAGGGTAAGACGGTTCCGGTTCCTCCGGTTCGGTTTTGCACACGGTTCCAGCGGTTCACGTTTCCTGCGGTTCATAGGCTTTTTGATTTTCTACAGTTCGGTTCCACGGTCCCGGTTCGGTTCCAGAACCTTACTGATAATAGATGTGATAATCCTTCCCATTGACTAATATTTTTCAAGATGGTTAAAACCACCAACCAGTTCAATTTTGTGTGGTTCACTTTGTATTACGTCCTCCTTTCCGATCAAGTCTGGGGGATAACCCGAAGCAGGCGACTCGGATGCTTCATGCCGTCCTGGCCCTCACGGGTGAAGGGGAGGCCTGGGTACCCAAAAAGGGTGAGCTGTAGGGTCTGGGAATTGTCCATGTTCGATCATGTTGGATGGGGAGTTTTGGGGTGGCCTTGGATATATAAATTCTAATGGATTGTCTCTCGTTTCGCCAAAACACATCTTTTTTTGGAGGGCGAGGGGGTACATGTAAAATAGTTTTATAACATCTATTCTACATGTAAAAAAGGTATACAAACCAGCTACTGCAATAACTTGTTTTGCGCAGGGTAGTTGGCTCGGCCATGTTGAGGACGTGCCCCGAGAAGTTCAAGTGGAAATCAGTGGAAGCCTAGTAAAGAATATTGAAAACCAACAATATAAAGATAATGTTATATACCCTCTGGTAATTTATAGCTATTGAAAATTGCCCAGTCGAAATAGTTGATTGTCCCAGCTACAAAATGGTGATGTTCCAGTTCGTTATGTAAACGTTTACCGGAGGGTATAGTAAAGCAAGGTCATAAACCACCAAATATGGATTGATGGTTTCAATCCCACCCATAAAAATGGTAAGTCATTGGGGATGGTGGATCCTATTGCTTTACTAACATTATCGCTTACTCCATTGTATTCCCATTATGGTCGGTTATAATCCCCATTTTTGTGGCTTAAATACATACTTAAATATCATATTGTAATCCCAAAAAAGAATCCCATTGTAGTCCCAATACCTATATCAATCCTATATCATTATAGACTATAGATGAATCCCATTAGAATTATAGTCCCCATATGATTATAGATGTATCTGTGAAAATTGTACTAGCGATAGCATAGATGGTCCTTTCAGCATTTCTGGAAGCAGTAATACACAATACGCTTTATATTTAGCATCGTCGCATTTCCCATTGACTAATATTTTTCAGAGGGGTTCAAACCACCAACCAGGTTATTAGATATACCTGTAGATATACACATGGCCATTGATTCGCCACAGAAGCCCCCAGCACAACGGAACTTGTGGCCAGGTACCAGGTCCCGCCTTGTCAAGGTCACTGGTCGTGTCTTGGCGATAACCATTGCAAAATGGTGATGTAACCATTGCAAAATGGTGCTTTAACGATTGCAAAACTGGTGATTTAACCATTGCAAAATGGTGATTTAACCATTGAATTGCAAATGGTGATTTAACTATTGCAAAATTGTGATTTAACTTTTGCAAAATGGTGATTGAATCATTGAACATCATTGGGCATGGTGATAGTTACATGATTTTTTGTTAACTGCAGAAATGAAGCTTCATACTACATGGTGGAACTAAGAACATTTGGCTTCAAATAGTTCAACCATCAAGAATAGCTATTAAGGTGTGGGTAAAGTAACCTAGCGTTCAGGGTAGAAAGTTCAAGCACCAAAATTGCGGGTTGTTCACACCAAAATCTGCAGTTTAACCGTCAAAAACAAAGTAATCGAAGTGGTGGTAATTTGATACAAACCACTGCAAATTATGTTTTGCCGTTTTGATATATTTTGATGGAAGTAAAATAAATCCATATTGATCAGCTACAACTTGCCGGGTATTTAAGATTGACCATCCTCCGGTAATCAAACGTGGCAATGGGAAATCCCCCAAAATGAAAGTTTTAATCCGAAAATCATCTACAGTATAAATGGAGGATTTCAAATTGCTGTGTGATGCTGTGTGTGATTGCCGGAGGCTAGTTAGATATAGAACAGCTCACAACACTTCGATCCTTGAGAAAAAGATCGAACATCTTCATCCTGTCGAGACCTTTACTTCCTCGACCTCGTGGACCAATTGCAGACCGCAGGTGGCAAACTCAGAGGACGTACCGCCGCTTTTCCGCTGTAGGGAGGGTGGAGCTACGTATGGTACAGTACGTGAATATGGTAAGTGTAAAGATGTATAAAGTATACAGTATATGAAATATATGAATAGTTAGACATGTATATGACATAGAGAAAAATATCAATCTTAAACTAAAATCCGAGTAAATTCATGGCATGTATCTACACACAGTCCGGATAACGACGCAGATCACTTGGATTCCGTTGGATTCCGGAGACCCTGGCGGCTAGCCAGCCTGTTTCATGTTTGTTGGTTGAACTTAACCCCGAAAAGGGCTTCGGTATGTATATATATAATAAACCCAAGAGTTATTGGAGTTATAAATCATAAACATCAAAAACAATTTAGCTAACTATATTAGATATTATTTTAGAATATAGACTATAACGATTCCGAACTCAGCCACCGCAGCATGGAGCGTTCTACCTGACCTCAGGTTCTGCTGTCCGAGTGGTTCGACCAGAATCGTTTGTTGGACCTTTTTGCGGGAATGTCTTTGCGCAACTCGGGCTGCATCACTGCGTGGATGAGAAAATGCTGGGGAGTATACTGCTAGCCTTTAGAATATGGGGGCAAATTTACTATTATCCATTTTGGAAGTATGTTTCACTATAGATACATATACATACTAATATATATATACTAATATAAATATATATATATGTGTGTGTGTTCCTTCGAGGCTCATTGAAGCTGTCAGCTGCGGCCAGAAAACGTTCTGTGGCTTTTCCGGAGTTCCTTCCGGACTCGACCGGACGGGACCCGCATGGAGGTGAAAAATGAGGTCATGGTAAACTAACAGAAATACTGGTTTAATGGTGGTTTAACCATGAAAAATGGTAATTTTCCATGGGATTAAACTATGAAAAATGGTGGTTTAATGGGATTGAACCAACAAAAATGGTGATTTCTAGATGGGATGTACCCTCTGGTAAACATTCACAGTTTGCGAACTTGAAAATGGCCCAGTCGAAATAGTGGATTTACCCATTAATGACCAGAGGGTATGGTATGGAAGATTCAATGCTAGCAAATGCGTTGGCTTTGGACTTTTTGAGCCCAGGCCTTGTGCTAGTCGAACTGTACATGGCTGCAAGGAGGGCCTGCATTATATACATATAACATGTATATACACACACACATATATATATATACATTGGAGGTTCTCATACCCAATGATGGATATCACGAAAATTTATATTGACTAACTTTTACCAACCAGTTTAAACGCTGCAGGTGAAAACTTCTGGGATGCTGCATCAACCTCCTTTTTTCGACTTGGGGGCCTTAATAGATTGGCCAGCCATCAGTTATCAATCCCCGTAAACTGTAAGATGATATTAGCAGGGATTGTTAATCGATAATGCGTCAGGGTCATGATATGTGAAGATATATGAAGATGAGCCTGGGAAGACATTGTGGAGTCAATAATCCTGCAAATCCTCGTCCCAATTAACAATTTAAGGTCTCAGTCCAACAATTTAAGGCATAAGGGCTTAGTACCCCCGAACATCATGGGTGAAAGATGGCTTTGAGTGGCGCTTAAAACCACCACTAAATTGACACATTCGTATATCAAGAATCCGTGGCAACTTGGTCACCATGGTTGTCTGGTTGGTGGTTTCAAACATTTTTCCATTTCATATATGGGATGTCATCCTTTCCATTGACGAACTCATATTTTTCAAGATGGTTATTGCACCACCAACCAGGTTATTATTAACAACCATTATATAACCATATATTAACCATCATTAACTTGGTCTTTGGTTGTAATAGGCTGCGTTTTACATCCATTCATCCTGTGCCAAGGCACGGCTTACGACTGTGCACCCAAGCGCTACCGAGCGTGTGGAAGCTGAGGGAACCAGGTCCCAGACATTGGGATTTCCATTGGTTTTGTACCCTCTGGATATGTCAACAGTTTGCTATTGAAAATGGCCATAGAAATAGTGAGATTTCCCATGAAAAATAGTGATGTTCCATAGTTATGTTAGTTTACCAGAGGGTATTCACCCAAAAGTTTTATTTGTAAAAGATCCATATAATCACCCGAAACCATGATCTCAATCCACCGTCTCTAAACAAAAAACAATTAATTAAACCAAAAAAAGCCCAGATTGTCTCAATCAAGACTCTGTTCATTCCTTGAAGAGCAAGGAGCACTGGGTTCCCAGGGGTGAACTCACTGACGTCCTTGAAATCGCCCGTTGGTTACGGCCGTGAACAGTACGTGTTTCATTTCTGCGTGTGTTTTGTTGCCATTCCCAACGTCAGTGCTGGAATAACTGTTCCTGCTTGATCGTCATTGGGTGACCTAGCCTATCCCCCTTATTTTTGGTTCATTTACCATCTACATCCATCTACCAACTTAGGTGCATCCCAGTTAGTAAGTGCTGATAGCACCTACTCATCCTCTTGGCAACTAGGATGCACATGCCATCATGCCATGCATCAATATTGATAATTTCCTCGTTACAACTAAGGTTAGAAGCCCATCACAACTCATCACATATCCCCAGATTTCATCAGATTTCAGGCTTTGAAACCTCCTTTTCCATCCTTTTCCCATCCTTTTCCCTATTCAAAAAGGCCCAGAGTACCGAGGCAGTTCCTGTGCGCCTTGAATCGTCTTACGATGGCGGAAGCCAAAAGGAGATCGCACGCAGATGGAAGAAATCCACCAGTTGGTAGATGGTAAGCATCCCATCATCCAGAGGGTTTCAACCATCCCAAATTGGTGATGCAGGATTTCGCAGACATCCACAGTATGGAAAATCACCATGCTATCAATGGGTAGATCAACTATAAATGGCTCATTTTCTATAGCTATGTTAGTTTACCAGAGGGAAATATATATATATATACATATTTATATGTATATATATATATATCCAAAGTAAATTGCTTTATACTGGGACACCATTTATATTCGTCACACGATGGGAAAATCATGGAAAATCATGGTAAAAATAAGTTGGTTTATGAACTCCATATATATATATATATGTATTTATATATATATACAATGTGGGGCCCCCCAGTTATAAGTTGGTATATAAGCCCCAGTAACTATAGTTATGTGCGTACCATAAACCATAGTTATTGGAGTTATTTGCACCAACTTAGCTGATCAAACCCTACGGAACCAACCAGCCATCCTTTTAGGATGGCAAGTGTCGTGCTGTGCGAACTCGGTGTCAATGTGCGGTTTTTCAAAATGGCCATCAAAGAATAGGGAAGATGATGAAAATCCATTGGACTTGGGAGTAGCCAATTTTCAGACGAAAAAAACCATGAAGTGTTGGAATTCATCATCTCGAAGCCATCTTGAAACCATCTTGAAAGTCATAAAACTTGGAGAAATTCAACCAGAAAAAAACCCAATGTGGAGAAATTCAACCAGAAAAAACCTTCGCTTCCGACTGGCATCGATTTTATTTTCGCCACTTTTTTTTGTTTGGCAGGAACAACGACTGTGTCCGTGGTAACTGGCATTCCGCCTGGACCTCAATTTCCTCATGGGATGATCTTCCGGAGGACTTTGGTGAAAGGTAAAAAAAAATGGGAGGTTGAGCATTGTTGAACCACCAGGATTATATCATATTATATTCCAATATATATATATATGTATATATATATACATATAGTATATGTATATATATAGTAAATAGTATATATAAGTATATCATATCTCATTATATCAATTTCTCTCCATATGAATACAATCATGAAGGGTGGCCGTTATATACCACTTTGGCAACTTTAATCAACATCTGATGGTCATAACCTAGGATTTGAGCTGGCTGCACAGCCCAATGATTTTGCCCTTTTCCTGCGCTACGATGATCCATCAAATTACATACCCTCCGGTAATCAAACGTGGCTGGAACACCACCATTTATAGATGATATTCCTCAATTGATATGTGCTTTTCCGACTCTTTTCCATGGGTTTCCGATCATATCGAATCATGTTTGTACCGTTGTAAGTCTATAAGAATAATGAACAAATTGGGGAGAGTAGGTAGGTTTGGTTGGCACAGATGTCATTCGGAATCATGCCAGTTTTATGTGTGAAGTCCTGGGTTACATGCTGTTGCATGCCTGCCTATATAGTGAGGTACCTGGCTACTGGTACCTGCTAAGTTGGAATACAAAAAACGTACACCACAATACCAACTTTCGCCAATGGCCATGGCTTGTAATCCTTCACGATAATTTAACCTAGCTATAGAAAATGGCCCTAATCGAAATAGTTGATTCACCTATGAAAATAGCATGGTGATGTTCCATACCTACTGTGGATGGTTGCGAAATCCTGCATCACCAATTTGGGATGGTTGAAACCAGTTGAAACCCTCAACAAATGGTGATTTTCCATCGTTTTTGTTCTACCCTCTGGTAATTTAACATAGCTATTGAAAATCACCATTTATAGTGAATTTTCCCATGAAAAATTGTGATTTTCCATAGCTATGTTAAATTACCAGAGGGTATGTTTACCAGAGGCTAATCCTCCATCCCATCTTCTCGCGACTTCGGCGAACCCAACGACGCCTCGGCGCAGAGGTCATGATGCAATACCCTGAGATGGGGCTCTGGCGCGACCTCCGCGACAAGATCAAGTACGCTGGGTAAATGGTGGTTTAATGGTGGTTTAACCATGAAAAATGGTAATTTAATGGGATTTAACTATGAAAAATGGTGGTCTAATCTGGTGATTTCTAGATGGGATTTAGCCTCAGGTAATTTGTTACAAAGCTATTGAAAATGGCCCATTGAAATAGTGGATTTACCCATTGATAGCATGGTGATTTTCCATCGTTATGTTAGTTTACCAGAGGGTATGTGCGGTGAATGGTTGAGTGATTCATTCTGGTTGGTGGTTTGGAACCATGGAATTTTATGACTTTCCAATAGTTGGGAATAATCATCCCAACTGACTATTATTTTTCAGAGGGGTAGGTCAACCACCAACCAGTTCATTTTTTTGACCTCTTGTAAACAGAATCCTAAATATCCAAGTTTGAATGGCTGTCTACCAGTTATTTCTGGCAAATTTGGATGGTTTATTATTGGGTTTATTATTGGGTTTATATGGGTTTATCATCATTCTTTTTGGCCGGCAGGAAACCATGTGTGTGCTCTCCTGGTAGCAGATTTTCTGGGGCCATTGGCCGATTGAATGTTTTCTCTATAGATTGTTTGCCGCATCGTCGGTTGCTGGCTATAGAAGCTTGATGATATGGATCGACAGAGGGAGTGAGATGCAGATTGTATGCAGACTGTGCTTCATTATGCCGGTTTGTTTTTTATTGAAACGGCAATTTGCTGATCAGCATCGTTTAGCCTCTGGAATTAACCATGGCTAAGAAATCTCCATTCCCTAACCGGGACATGCCCAGAAGGTTTCTATGAGGGGCACCACGGGAGCAACAAAGTTTGTCAAATTCTCAGCATTAAAACTGTTCTTCCACCCATATGATGGAGGTCTGATCGTTTTCATCCATGATTTCCCCAACTAAAACTAGGACGGAGCATATTCTATAATATATATCTATAATATATATATATATGTTTTCTATTTTTTAGGTTTGTAAAACTATCAATATCACCATATCGTACCATATCTACCCCTCCGGCAATGAAACGTGGCAATTGAATTTCCCCATTTCTACAGATGACTCTTCCCAGCTGTAAGGCTCCATCTATAGTAGGTTTTCCGATATTTTCCCATGATTTTCAGAGATTGTTTTTTCCACATTCAGATGATTTCCCATATATTTCCTATGATTTTCCATATTTTTCCCATATATTTCCTATTTTCCTATGATTTCTCATGATTTTCCTATGATTTCCCATGATTTTCCTATGATTTCCTATATGTTCCATACATTTTTCCCCTGGTTTCAATGGAGCCCCAAGCGGCCCAGGTTGCGGGTGTGGACGCCTGACGTTGAGCTTGGCGGCTCCAAGCCGCGGCGAGGCGAGGATGTGTTTGGGTGACAACATGTTACAACTATAGTTGACTATACTCACGTATATCATATATGTATATATATATATATATGTGTATATATATGTGTGTGTACATATATATATGTAAATATATATATATATATGTATACATATAGTTATATATATAGTTATGTGTATATATATACATACAATCATAGTTATATATATATACACTATGATATAGATAGTTACATGGGTTTGGAATGGTACTTTAACTTCTAACTGGATGGCCCCACATTGGGGGATCCACGCTTTCGGACGCAGGTAGTATGTGGGATGACGAGGACGGGCAGCTGCTGGTGCTGGGTTGGGGGTGGATCTGATGGATTTGGTCGATGTTAAGATGTGACCAACAGGAACTACTACCCTCAGGTAAACATACAAAAAACTATGGAAAATCGCAACTTTCAATGGAAAAATCCAGTATAAATGGCCATTTTCAATAGCTATGTTAGTTTACCAAGGGGTAGTTCAAATTGAGGATATTAAATGATATTGGAGCAACAAACATTCTGGATACTCTCAGTAAAACAAACGTAGACCCTGTATGCATGATACCTACATTTAAACGTAGACCCTGGTGAACAAATTTGCTGATCTGGGGTCTATCTTTTCTTGTAAAAACATGTAAAAAAAACCTGCAAGTCCAAAAGTGTGGATCACATAGACCCTGGGGATACAATGGACAACAATGGACAACAATGGACAACAATGGACAACAATGGACAACAATGGACAACTGGCATAACATAAACCCCACAGATTGCATTCTTGTTTTACCATGTTTTACCCCACTAACGTGTTTTTTCCAAGACTCATCAATTCCTGCATATTCCTGCAGTAGCATTGCAAATAGGGCTAACATATACCCTGAACTGGTATAAGGATCTATTTGAGTTTCTAGTCCAAGAAATGATCCATCTTGTCAACACAGCATGTCGGAGTCTATGTTTTTTTTACTTGGGATATATCTTTTAGAATGGCTTCCTGAAAGTCCAACAATGGGGATCACATAGACCCTGGGGATACAATGAACAACAATGGAAAACTGGCATAACATAGACCCCACAGATTGCATTCTTGTTTTACCATGTTTTTGCCCACTAACATGTTTTTTTTTCCAAGACTCACCAATTATTGCATATTCCTGCAGTAGCATTGCAAGTAGGGATAACATATACCCTGGAATGGTATAAGGATCTATTTGAGAGGCTTATTACCACCCAACCACCAGGGTCTAGGTGAACCATTGGAGACCTTCTTCTTGTTTGTGCATAATTAGTTTCTACTTTTGTTTGGGTTAAGGAACACAAGACCCGTGTTTTGAGGGTCCATGTTAGGTGCCGGTGAAATCTTTAAAGTCCTGAAAGAATCTTGGACCTGGGGTAAACCTGTATATTCCAATTACCCATTATATCAATATGTTTCCCATGGGTATAGAATCGGAAAATCCCCACCATAATATGACCCATTTTGATCATCATGGTCGAAGGAAGTTTAGAAGTCAAACTTCCAACAATATGGACAGATGAAAAGCAGAGGTGGGAAGAGTCAGAGAAGAGAAGAGAACAGAAGAGAAGAAGAGAGAAGATCAGCGAAGAGAAGGAGTCAGAAGAAAGAAGATCTAGAAGAAAGAAGGTCTAGGTGCGCGAAAAGGTAGTAAAGTCGGGAAACACTGTGTTTTTCCAATGATTTGTGGCTACGGAGGGTTGAAAAGTAGTCACATTTGGAAGTCAAAAGCGTGAAAAACTGATGGGTTCGGAGCACTTTTGGAAGTTGAGATGTTGAGAAAGTGCACGCCGTTGGGGCGCGAAGCACATTTGGCAGTCAAAATTTACAAAAACACCTCAGCCTCGGGACACTTTTGGAAGTTGCGATGTTGAAAAAGTGCACGCCGTTGTGGCGCGAAGCACATTTCGAAGTCAAAAGTGGAAAAACTGAGGGGTTCGGCGCACTCTTGGACGTTCGGATGTCATTTTGCGTGGCAGGCACAAGGGATTCTGCAGTGAGCAAAACGTGAGGGTTTTGTAGCAGTTTCAACTACAACCACCACTACCCTGCATTCCACTACCCTACAACTACAACTACACTACATTACACTACGCTAATTACACTACACTACACTACACCCCACTTCACCTCACTACACAACACTACACTACACTCAATTACACGACACTACGACTACAGCTACAACTACAACTGCAACTACGGCTACAACTACAACTACAGTTACAACTACAACTACATTACACTACACGCATTACATTACACTACACTACGCTACTCCACGCTACACCACACCACACCGCACCACACTACACTAATCACAACTACAGCTACAACTACAACTACACTAGACTACACTACACTAGACAACACTACACGACACTACCCAACATTTCATTACACTACACTCATTACACCACCGCAAATGCAACTGCAACTACACTACACTACCTACACTACACCACAACTACAACTCCACTACACTACAACTACAACTACAGCTGCACTACACCGCACTACATCCAGCAGTTGTGGGTGAGGTGACCGACCAGGTGACCACTGCAACCATTGCAACCATTCCAAAAAACACAACTCCAACCACCTTTCGGTCCATCAGTGGATTCGCTCTGCCATCCGCGATTCACAACAGCCAACCTCTCCTATAGGTTTCCTATTCTGAAACTTCCGCCACCGCCTTGTGCGCTACTGCTGGTCATAATTGATATATCAGAATGGAATATACCCATTATATAAATGATTATGTCACCATTCTGGCGTGTCCCGTTGTACCAAAAACCAACCAGGAGGGAAAGCGAACCTCCAGCTGGGCAGCAGCGTGGAGAGAAAGGCCCGTAAGTTGCGCTGGTTGATATCCAACGAGGCAAACAATTGTGATACTAATGGGACATGATATGTATATATATATATACAAGGTGGTGCACCCCCAGTTAGAAGTTGGTTTATCAAAATCCATTAACTACGAGTAGTTATATCTACCATAAATCCTCGTTATTGCAGTTATAAACCAACTTAGCTAACTATGGTGCACCACCTTGTATATATGATATGGATACGTGGGGCCATCAACGAGTCATCAACACTATTTGAAATGACTATTTGGTAGATGAGTCTAAGAAGCCCAACAGGTTTTATCACAATGTCAATATACATACCGTATTTTGATGTATTTTGCGGGTTATCCATACTCTCTATATACAGTACGTATGTAAAAAGTCATAAAGTCTTTTTTAATTTACTACATGCTTAGAGAATCAAATTGTCACATAAGTTGATATTATATATATATATACATTTATTTATATATATATTATTTAAATATATATATATGATATATGATATTTTTTATATGATATGTACCATTATATATATATATGATATTTATCTATATGTGATATTTATATATATGGTATATATATATATGATATATATTTATATATATGATATATTTATATTATATATATATTTATTTACATGATATATGATATATATATATGATATATATGATATGTATGAGATATATGAGATATATGATATATAGAAGCTAGATTGTGAAATATAATGAAACAATTTTGACACTATACAATATATGATAATATGATAATATACAAGTATGATTGTCATGCTAACTGTCATTAGACTGTCATGTCATGATATTTTGTGCCAGTCGTCCAGCCGCAGGATTCGCAAGGTCCTCCCTCGCGGGATCGATTCCTTCGTGGGCGCCGCGGACAAAGAGGCCCCGTTTTGACTCACCGGCCGCATTCAGGTACTGTTGTTGTTTGGGTACCAAAACGGTTACATATGGTTACATTAAGGGATAGCCCATCAGTGGATTTTTTTGATTGTTTAACAAGATTATTGTGATTTATGATATTTATTTTTTAAGATATTTATTTTGGACGTTCTGTCAGTTTGAGTGGCAATTGCATCTAAAATGCGATCCTAAAATAGTAGGAATTGTAGATCTCATGTTTGTAATTTGGGGTGGCAATCACCTCATACATACAAGTGCTAAGTTATACGTGTCAAACAAACATTCTTGAATGATCTTTGATAATGGAAACACACATTTTACACTTGGGATTTGTCAATCCTATCTGCGCATTGACCACCAAATACGGGGATGCACAAGTCCAATAGAGTGATGGCTGATACGGGCCGGCCAATTCAGAACAACTAATTGGTGGTTTAACCAGTCAAACTAGGAACCAAGTTGTCATCCACAACCTTGCATTTTGGGAGGTGCTTGAGGGTATTTTGTTGACAGGATCTCCTGACAATTTGGTCCATATTGGATGCTAGAATCATGTTGAAATCGAAAGATGCCAGTAAACAAATTCAAAATCAGTAAGTACCCACTCATCTTTGAATAGGATTTTTTTAATGGTGCGTCATACAAAAGAGATCAAAAGAGTGACCGATCATGTTGTCAGTAGGATATCTTAGTTTGGTCATTTCACTTGGCAATGGAAAATCAGCATCTCTTTCAGGGACTTATTCAGCTAAAATCATCTACAGATCGCTGATTTTCAATTGCCAGGTAGGAGTAGCACTTATTACTAAATCACGAAGAAGGATCCTGAAAATGATGGACTGTCCTGATCAGAATCCATTAGCATCCGAGAAAACCTTGTATTTGCAGGTGCCCTCACGTAAGCTAAGATATATGTGGAGAACCTAGCATTGTCGATCATTTTCCTAGGGCACCCATGGGTTTTCCACATCTACTTCGTTTACTCTAGGACCCCCAAAAAAATAGTTGTCTTTTTCTCACTGAAGCCCTATTTTATAGTTGATTTTTCCATGGGATCCCCATTGATCGTTCTCAAAACCTCTATTTATAGTGGTGTCCACCCATACTTTCCGATGATTTTCCAATTTTTCCTATGAAACCTCTATTTTTCGTTGCCTTTCCCATTCAAACTGTGAGTTTTTCGTTCCCTTCGTTTCGGAGCTCCGTTTCACGCTTTTAGCAGGTCCGCGCCATGGCGTCTGCGCTGTGGAAAGATCTGGCTGAGTGGGCCCGGGGACCTTGGAAATCTCCCAAGCGTGCGGCGGGTGAGTTGTAGAGTCTACAAGGTGGTGCCCCATATTTAGCTAAGTTGGTTTATAAGTTTCAGAATAGGAAACCTATAGGAGAGGTTGGTTGTTGTGAATCACGGATGGCAGAGCGAATCCACTGATGGACCGAAAGGTGGTTGGAGTTGTGTTTTTTGGAATGGTTGCAATGGTTGCAGTGGTCACCTGGTCGGCCACGTCACCCACAACTGCTGGATGTAGTGTGGTGTAGTGCAGCTGTAGTTGTAGTTGTAGTGTAGTGGAGTTGTAGTTGTGGTGTAGTGTAATTAGTGTAGTGTAGTGTAGTTGCAGTTGCAGTTGTGGCGGTGTAATGAGTGTAGTGTAATGTAGTGTAACGTAATATAATGTAATGTAATCTAATGCAATGTGGGGTAGGGTACAGTAGTGTAGTGTAATTGAGCGTAGTGTGGTGTGGTGCGGTGTGGTGTAGTGTATGCTGCGTAGTGTAATGCAATTATATAGTGTAGTGAAGTGTAGTGTAGCGTAGTGCAGTGTGTCGTGTGTAGTGTGTAGTGTGTAGTGTGTGGTGTGGTGTAATGCAATTAGTATAGTGTAGTTGTAGTTGTAGTTGTAGTGTAGTGCAGTGCTATGTAATGTATTGTAGTTGTAGTTGTAGTGTGTGTAGTGTAGTGTAGTGTAGTGTAGTGTAGTGTAGTGTAGTGCAGTGCAGTGCAGCGTAGCGTAGCGTAGCGTAGTGTAGTGTAGTGTAGTGTAGTGTCGCGTGGTGTACGTAGTGTAGTGTAATGTAATTGAGTGGAGTGTAGTGTAGTGAGTGTAGTGTAGTGGAGTCGGGTGTAGTGTAGTGCAGTGTAGTGTAGTGTACTGTAGTCTTATGTAGTTGTTGTTGTTGTAGTTAGTGTGATGTAGTGTAATGTAGTGTAGTGTAGTGCAGTGTAATGTAGTGTAGCGTACTGTAATTGTAGTGTAGTGGAGTGTAGTGTAGTGTAATGTAGTGTAGTGTAGTGTAATTGAGTGTAGTGGAGTGTAGTGTAGTGGAATGTAGTGTAAAGTAGTTGTAGAAAGGAGTGTAAAGTAGTTGTAAAAAGGAGTGTAGTGTAGTTGAATGTAGTGTATTGTAGTGTAATGTAGTGTAGTGTTGTGTAGTGGAGTGTAATGTAGTGTAGTGTAATGTAGTGTAGTGTAGTGGATTTTGTAGTGTAGTGTAGTGTAGTGTAATTGAGTGTAATCGAGTGTAATTGAGTGTAGTGGAGTGTAGTGTAGTGTAGTGGAATGTAGTGAAGGTGTCGTTGTAGTTGTAGTGTAGGTGGTGTAGTGGTGGTTGTAGTTGAAAAAGCTACAAAACCCGCACATTTTCTTTTCCTCACTTTTGACAAGGTCCACAATCCCTTGCGCCTGCCACGCGAAACGGCATCTGAACGTCCAAAAGTGGTCCGAGAATGGTGTGCTTTGTACATTTTGACTTCGAAATGTGCTTCGCGCCACAATTGCATGCACTTTTTCGACATCTCAACTTCCAAAAGTAGTCCGAACCCCTGGTGTTTTTAACATTTTGACTTCGAAATGTCGTTCGCGCCACAACGGCGTGCACTTTTTAGACATCTCAATTTCCAAAAGTGGTCCGAGAATGGTGTGTTTTGTACATTTTGACTTCGAAATGTGCTTCGCACCACAACGGCATGCACTTTTTCGACATCTCAACTTCCAAAAGTGATCCGGAGCTGAAGTGTTTTGTACATTTTGACTTGGAAATGTGCTTCGCGCCACAACGGCGTGCAATTTTTCATCTCTCATCTGGCCAGCTGGCTCTGCACCCGCCACTTTAGCGAGCCTACTTTTCGACCCTCCGGAGCCACGAATCATTGGAAAAACATAGTGTTTCGCAACTCCTACCTTTTCGCGCACCTGCATCTTGTTTCTTCTGACTCTTTCTCTTCTCTGATCTTCTCTCTTCTGCTCTTCTCTTCTCTATTTTTCTGCTCCACCTCTGCTTTTCATCTGTCCATGTTGTCGGAAGTTTGACTTCTAAACTTCCTTCGATAAGAAAATATTATGGGATATTAACTGATTAATAGGATATTAATAGGATATTAGCCAAATGGGAAATATCATGGGGAATATAACTGATATGATGTAGTGGTGTAATGCCCTCTCCCTAATCAAGAAGATCATGGGAATGAATGGTAATGGGATATAAATAGATATTAATGGAATACAATGGTTTATAGCTAACCAACGGTTCCCCCGTTTATGATAACCCCCGGAGACGACGTGACCATCTAGGGATTGGTGGGATGAATATAGAACATATATATTATATAGCCAACAGTAGGAGAAAAAACAGACGACTAACTAAACTAAACTAAACTAAACTAGGTTGAAGGTGTGCTAGACCCATCATCAAGTTGATCCTGGGAATTTACACAGTGACCAGTTCAGAATTGGGTTTTTAAAACTGGGGTGAATCATGATGAATCCACAGGTGTTCACAGGTAGCCGCGGCAATGTAAACAACCGTTAAATTTCCAGTGTGATGGCTACCTTCTGGTTATGATTAACATAGCCATGGTATAGATGGCCCATAGAAATAGATGGTTTACCTATAAAAATTTGTGATTTTCAATGGCAATGTTAAATAACCAGATGGTAGTTGTCCCAGATGTTTTCCCATGCAAAACGCATTTTGTTTGGGAGTTCCCAGCGAAAAAAACCTCCATTTTTTGTCGTTGAGGTGCTGAAGGATGAAGCTACTGGGCCGCGATTCCTGAGCCTCTTCAGAGCGGAGCGCGGAACTGGGAGGGTTGGGGGGGTCAAAGTTATCCAAAAGCTATGGCAGCTATGGGAAATGGGTGGAAAATGCTATGGGAAATGGCCGTGCCGAAAAGCTATGGAAAACATCACTCACTAAAGAATTAGCTGCCCAGCTCTGAAACGAGTTTCGATGGGAATGGTGACTTGCCCAATGGCCCCATGGCCCAGTATGATGATTCGATGTGAGAACTAGCGCTATTCCCACGATGATAAGCAACCATCATGTTGTTGCCCTTCCCTGTGCCCAAGTTTTTTGACAAAGCTAGGAAGTGATGGATTTGGAGATATACAGTATGCAGTAGATTAAAGGCCGGCAACCGAAGTACGGTCAGAAATGCAACAGGAAATAGCCAGAATGAAATGGGTGAAAATGGTTTTGGAATATGATTCTCGAGATCCAATTTGGGGATTGGTATGCATTTTATGCACCTGTTACTTGGCGCAGTTCATGACTGCACAACTGGTGAGGCACAAAATCACTTTCAAGATGCAAAGGCATGTTTTTGCCTTACGCATCATGCCACGGGTATCTAAATAGACTGGGTTGAATTGAGTAGAGCACAGTAAATCAGACTATAATCACATTCGATTGGGTCACACTATACTAGATCGATGCACGTCGATCGCCACATGTTTTAGACTCTTCCCAGCAACTATAGACAGTAGATCACTTCACCCTGGTCGGAATTTTCATGTCACCCAAGTTTTGTTGTTTCAATCATCTTCGAATTTTATAGTTTCATAGTTTCTTTCTGGTTCAAGTTGAAATTCATGTGGAAATTCATGGTTTTTCTTCGGTTTCACTGCAGTTTCCGTGATGTTTGCCCCATATTTTTCCACCGTTTAACGGGACCCGGTCACCGGGCAGGAGCCACCCTTGGCACCGGATGGCACCGAGGTGCCAATGGCATCGATCGTAACCATCAACCTTTTGTCACCTTAAGTTAATCACCGGATAAAGAGACTCTGTTATATGATCAGTAACCATATACATATATACATATACATTTAATATTATATATATATGATATATATGATATGATATGATATGATATGATATATATATATTATGTTATATAGTATATATATATATATGTTATATTATATATATATATATATTGATGTGATATATTGATATGATATTTTTTGGGTGGGTTGTTGATAGTCACCTTTCAGATGATATGTTTTCTTGGATTTTTTTCGGACCGAGCATATTGTGACTGGATGGATCCTATCCGTTTTCTTTGGGCTGAACTACCTCTGGTAAACGTTTACATCGCTAGGAAAATCACCATCTTATAGCTGGGTAAATCAACTATTTCTATAGTCCATTTACCATCTGGTTATTTAACATAGCCATGGAAAATCACCATTTTTTATAGGTAAAGCATCTATAAATGGTCCATCTTCAATAGCAGACTGTTGACATAACCAGAGGGTAAGCCAGTGACTCCAGGCTCCCCAGCTGGACGAGTGGGCCTTCGTTCCCGCCTCGGACATTTTCCTGGTGGTCGGCGAGGTGCGAAATCAGATGGCCATGCCGCCATGCCCCAAAAAATAGGTTTCGAACATGAAAAATCAGGTGTCTCAACATGAAATCAAGGATTTCAACACAGATTATAAAACATAAAAGTTATGAAGAAAAACATGAAATTCAATCAGAAGCAATCAGATATGGATATGTCTAATTTTAGTTAAACATGTTTGTTAATGAATGAACCAGAAAATTCCATCAGAATCAGCCACCAGCCATTGATTCGTCAGGGCCTGGTGGGCATCAGCGCAGAGGGCCTGGGGGTCGATGCCAAACCTGGCCATGACAGGAGACCCCGCAGGAAATCTTTTCACCATGGGTTTTACGCCATGGGTTTTACCATCCAAAAACTTACTGGTGCTACAATGTGGGCCCCCCAGTGATGTTTGTTGGTTTATAAACCCAGTTATAACATATCTCGATATTTTTTGGTGATTATAATGATCCAATAGTCAAGTGATGTTAAGTGGCTATGCCAAATAAATCCAACTATTAAGTGGCTAGTGCCAATAATCCAACTATTATAATAATCCAAGTAGCTATAGTTGCTGATTGGTGGTGACTGGAACCATGGAATTTTATGACTTTCCATATATTGGGAAGAATAATCCCAACTGACGAACTCCATCATTTTTCAGAGGGGTAGGTCAACCACCAACCAGATGAAAACTTACTGGTGCTCAGTAAGTAGGCAATTTTCGGGAATGATCCACTGGCTAACTATCAACTCTATCAATGATAATCCCAGCAACCCCCAGCAACCCATCCATTCCCTGCGTTTAGCACCAGTGAGAAAAACATGAAAATACATGAAACAAATCCACAGTTGAAGCATCAAACATTGTCAAACATGCTGTGTTTTGCACATTTTTGTTGGTTTCAGTGTGAACACATGAAAGGTTGACCTTTTTGAACGATGTGGTGTTTCGTGGCAGGGGCAGATAAGCATCAAAAATACAGATAGTGTTACATAGGGATTCCATCATCAATCATCGGGGCATCAATAGTCCCTTCCACCTGAAAAATCCCAGGTACCGCTATTGGGTGCCGCGTTTAGTGAGGGTAATACAATTCGGCGGTACAAACTGACTGACGTGTTAATGAGTTAGGATGTGATATAGTGACATTAGTGACATTGCCCATTCCCATGAACCCTTTCTGCTGTTTTTTTTCAACTAGTTTAGTGAATGGCCAACAAGTTTTAATGTGGGTTTGTCCCACGGCTTAACCATCCTGAAACGGGCGAAGATATGTCTAGCCAATTTAGCATCAAATACCCCTAAATACTTCGGACCTCAAAAATGGTTCTGTTTATGCACCGTGCTGGTGTATATCACAGTATGGTCAATTATGGTCATGAGTCATGTTCCATATATTTTCCCATTTGAATCCTTCTGATAGATTCCATAGATGTCAAAAATGTGGCTCTATATCTACATTTCTCATGGGTGTTGCATATTTGATTTTACTGGAGGGTGGTATATAACGAAAACAACACGAATCATTGACTAAGTATATAGATGTATCATGATATATCAATCACTACTAGACTAATCATAGACATATTATATCTTATATACCGTATAATTACCTATCTAATATGTGTATATATATATATTGATGGATGCATTCCAGGAAGCCTAACTCTAACTTCAAGCAGGATGACCTTCGAGGAAGCCATGGCAGAAAAGAAGGTGGAGCCACGATGGGAGCCCGAATTCCATGGGATGATTGGCGAATTCCATGGGGAAAATGAATGAAAATGATCCAACGGGTAATGTTTGAACTGAACCATGATGATCCAATGGTTGTTTGAGGGGCACCAAGGAAGTTCTGCAAGTCCAAGGGTTCATTGATGTTTTACACTAGCGTTTACACGAACGCCGTGGTGAACCCGACAGGAAGGTGAAGAGGAGGAGAAGGAAAAGAAAAAGAACCAGGCGGGTTCCTTTCTGGCTGGTGGTGACTGGAACATGGTTTTTATGACTTTCCATATTGGGAATGTCATCATCCCAACTGACGAACTCATATTTTTCAGAGGGGTAGGTATACCACCAACCAGATAATTATTAACCATCATTAACTTAACCATATAATAACCATTAATATTAACCGTATGTTAACAGTATATTACCAACCAATAGTAGGTGGCTCAACCACCAACCATTTTGTGTCATTTGTGATTGATGTGGCGACCAGGGTAGGGTTTCGACTCCGCCATTTTGACAGAGCCACGCGACCTTTGTAAGGACACAGCCAATGATATTTGGTGACTGCATGCTTTCAACAAGAAAACTTGTGAGTTTTCACACCCAAAATGCCATTGAAGAGCTCAAAATGCACAGTTTGCGTGTTGGTATGTGGATGTGCTGTTCTTACGTAAAAAGCAACAAAACATGCAATCAAGCGCCTAGGACAGAGACAAAGATGGAAAAGACAGAGGTAAAGACAAGGAGAAGGACAAGGACAAGTGGCTCGCACGAGGGGAACAAACTCATGGTGACATGAGGATGCTGATTGTTTCACGATCATCATACATAGCATTAATGGAAAATCCGTCATATCACTTCATTGATAAGAAATTTCCAAGGAAAGAACGGTTTTCCAATGTTTTACAGCTACGAATGGACTGGCTCCAAGGGATAAAAAGGCGCCTGCTCATGACATCGAAGTTGGACACCTAAAAAAATGAAAGTTGGACAGTTCTGTTTTAAGGCATTTCCATCTTTTGTTCATCAACGAGGCTCGCTTGGTTTCTCTGCATGTCGGAGTTTCTCGACCCCACCTACAACCCACACGTAGATGCCGATGCCAGTCATGCTGCAACAAACAAGTGCAGTCTTTTGAAGAGCATGTCAGCCCTGATGAATAGAGGGCCACATCTCTACGTACCATGGCTTGGTTCATGGGTTGAATCTCGGCCCTAATATTGGTCGATGTAAGAATCTTGGTGACCACCCAGGCTTTGGAAGGGCTTCAGCTGTCCGAAACTGCGCTTGTTTTTGATGGTTTTTTCAGCTTGCCCGCCCTCCAGTAAATTGAGACATAGATATGGAAAACCCAATGGTTTTCAGGAAAATGATCTACTGTATATACGAATGCTTGGTTTCCCTAATATCTAAATATCTATTAATCTATAGTATTTACTGGAGGGAAGAAGTTGCGAGGACAGAAGTAAGTCAAGAGACGATAGAAAGAAATCCTCCAAAGACAAGGACTCCTAGATCTCCTTGCGTGGGAAGTGGATGATATGAGTTGCTGGCGGCGCAATCCATTGACAAGGTAGGACAGGATAGGAACCAGGAATGGAACACAATCCAAGACAAGGAAGAAGTAGAAACAAATGATCAGTCATATTCCCATGATTTAAATCTCAGATGTAACAGTCAATATGGTTTGGTCATGTTCAGGATTCAAAATCTCAACCCGGTTTGACAAAATTCGGGATCGAGATGTGGTTGTGCACCACCCACTGAAAGACACGTATGGTGCTGTGGGGGGGTCAAATGATTGTATCATGTTATTTCATATCACAGTTGCGACTTTAGTACCTGGTCTTCCCAGTTTTTTCTCCATAAAATTGCTGCTGCATCCTAACCTACCATCATTTCACTATATATGTATGTAGCCCCTTTGAGTTTACAGGAGCGATCTAAGAAATCTAAGTTGGTATACTTCTGACGACATACCCCACTTCCTGTGTACGGCACCACCGCCTTGAGGATGGAAAGCCGTCGAATGACCCAGACTTCAACTGGGAAAAGGCCGCCATGCTGGGCTACTGGGAGGTAGCAACTGGAGCCTATCTCATGTAGTAAGTGAAGTTAGGTGGAGTATAACCCCACTAACCAGTTCCAAAACACTTACTATATTTGCTTGGAGTGCTGCTCTCAGCACAATGCTCTTTTAGCAAGTTGGCATTGCGTAACCCCTCGTGGCATTCCAGGGTTCTTGAGGCTATGATAAATACATGCATATATACACATGCTTGTCCAAAAATAGTATGCTCAAATCAGCCACCTTGTCTACACGTTGTTTGTCTTCTTAAACGATTCAAATTGTCCTATTCCAACGCGATGCGCCAAGGCTTCTATTGGGTTTGCGTCCATGGCATGGAGAACGACCCTATAAAAAACTATTCTTCAGGATGGCTGATAGCAAACCACTGGGCTTAAAAAATGGGTGTCTGAACATGGGGGATTTGTATGGAAAAATGTGGAAAAATGATCATCCCCAGGTGGAACAAATGAAAATCCCCCATGAAAAATGTCATACAAAATTTATATGAACAAATGATCATTGGCCAATTGGCCAATTCATTTCGTCATCTTCGTCATCTTCAGGTCTGGCGTGAGCGTGTCAACACCAACAAGCCGGGGGGCCAAAAAAAGAGCAGAGAACAGGGTGGGAGTGGTGCGAGCAAACCATGCCGTTGTGGCGTCCCTGGATGCGGAGGATGCCCGCCCTGTTAGGACAGATTGGAAGAGGTTTGAACTACGAAGATCACAGGGAGGTGGTGCAATGCTGATGTCCCAGAATCTCCCATTGATCCATGTTCATTTTGTTGAGGCTAGTTGTGGTTCATGAAAAACGGCACTACCATCTGGTTATTTAACATAGCCATGGAAAATCACCATGCTATTAATAGGTAAACCATCTATAAATGGGCCATCTATACCACGGCTATGTTAAATGAACAGATGGTATATATTGAAAATGTTGCAGGAAACCCATAATGGTATCCCCAAGACCATGGGTGTAAATACTAGGTTGACCTCACCATACATGAAGCTTAGCTGGGCGAAATGGTTTCATGACTTGGATGATTTGGGGTACCCCCATTCTAGGAAATGTCCATAGTTATGTGTTTCCAGATGGTGATAGATGGTTTTTATATAACTTTACTTATTTGTTAATTTATTTATTGAGTTATTTATTTTACATCCAAATTATTATTTATCACCGTTAAAATGCATTAAATCACTATTAATCACACTGGGGGGTTGAAAAAACACGGGTGTCCAGCACTGTCACAGGAACCGACCCCGAGCAAGATCTCCGTGGGGACCCTGGAAAGGAAAAACCCTTGGAATATGTGGGGAAATCTTGGACAAAATTGCTTGGAAACTATGGGAAGTATGGGAAATGGGAAAATGTTGTGGTGGTTGAAGAATCTGGGGAAATGATTCGGAAATACTGAAATAGTTGAAACATATATGAACATATGGGCAACAAATGTTGGGGAACTGTGGAAAAGCCATGAGAAGCATTGGAAACTAAGACAACCACTTGGGTGGTCCAAATTATTTGGCGAAGTATGAAGCGTTTGCAATTTCGTGGGTCCATTGGTGCTCCAATGAAACAGCGGCGTGAGGAGTCAGGACATTGCCACGCCGTATTCTTTGTTTGACATGTAAAGGACACGATGGGCCATGGGAGTAGCGATTCCTGGTCAGTAAGTGGCTTTTTAAACCCAACTAATCCCAATGACAATCCATTTCCTGGTTGGATAACTAGTTTTCCCTTTTTCATATGGCAAAAATCATCGATTTTGTCATTTTGTGTGTAAATTTCCATAAGTAATATATGGATATGGCACATCAAAAGATCCATATTTGGTTGGCTTTGGGGATCCAGGTACCAGGTGGTGCCCCCCAGTTATAAGTTGATTTAGAAAGCCCATGAATTAACTATAGTTACATCTACCATAAATCCTAGTTCTTGTATAAACCCACTTAGCTACCCTCTGTTAAACAAACAGTTTGCGAACTTGAAAATGGCCCAGTCGAAATAGTGGATGACTACCCATTTTCATAGCATGGTGGATCTTTCCATCGTTTTGTATGTTTAACAGAGGGATACACAGGGTAACTATGGGGCACAACCTTGTAGTCTAGTCAGAAAACGTTCACGGCAGGATGGTCTCCACCCCGACAGGTCTAACCCCCGACGGAGATCGCGCGAGCCACGGCGCGAGCGTGACTCGCGGTCGCGCAGACGCTCCAGGCAGGTTTGCTGGTAAAATCATCGGAAAATATCTGGGAAACAATGTAAACAATGGTAAAGATCTCTATAAATCAGGGTGTTCATCTCAAAATTTGCAGAATCATCGAAGTTAATGCGTGATTTTCGAGCATGCCACGTTTGAGTACCGGAGATTTAGTAGGGATTTAATGGGATTCTCTCCATATGCTATTTCGATAGACGGCCCATTTATATAGTGCGATGATTTTCATGAATTTAACATAATTTACCTATATTCATAATGATAGCTATATTAAGTTTCCAGAGGGCAACAAAAATGATGAGTTTATGTACAGGCTGGGCATTTTTAAAGGGAAAATCATCGAACCATGGATTTTCCAGCAAACCATGTTTGACTATGACTACGGAGGGTAGGTGGGTCAGCCTTGGATAGTTTGATGTTTGACAGGTTGTGTTTTTTTTTGAGGCTGAATAGTTGCGAACCTGCCATTTTTTTGCGTATCTAAGATTGGCTGTGCTGTTAACCACCCAAATTGTGGTCAATACTTTCGAGTTGGTGGTGAATGTTAGTCCTGTTTTCGTAGATTTCAAGTTGGTTAAGTCCCAAGTTGCGGTTGGCTAACCATGCTCAATGATTTATCTCTACTGCAGTCTCATATTAAATGCCACTGCTTCTGCTACTGAAATCCATGTCAGTTGAAATCCCTGTTGATGATATTAGAGGATTTTTCATTATACTCAACATATCTCGATATGTTTGGGGGATTATAATGATCCCATAGTTAAGTGATGTTAAGTGGCTAGTGCCAATAATCCAACTATTATAATTGGTTGGTGGTTTCAAACATTGTTTATGTCCATAATATATGGGATAATCCTTCCCATTGACTAATATTTTTCAAGATGGTTATTGCACCACCAACCAGTAATAATCCAAGTAGCTGTTAAGTGATGTTAAGTGGCTATGCCCAATTATAATCCAATAATAATACAATTATAATAATCCCAGTAGCTATAGTTGAGATATGGAATAGTTGGATTATTATAATAGCTGGATTATTAATAATAGTAGCTACTTGAATATTATCCAGCTACGATATGAGGATAATCATAGTCAGATAATTATGATCATCTGGATTATTATAATCATCCCAACTGACATTCATATTTTTCAGAGGGGTAGGTATACCACCAACCAGATTATTATTAACCATCATTAACCATCATCATAACTATTAATATTAACCATTAATATTGACAGTATATTACCAACCAATAGTAGGTGGCCCAACCACCAACCAGATTAATTATTAGTTATAACTTGTTATTTCCATGGGATTATACATTCTATTTCTATGGGATTAACCATATATTAACCATATATTAACCATTAATATTAACCATTAATATTAACCATATATTAACCATATATTACCAACCAATGGAATATGATAACCATCCAGAATTGTTAGATGGTTAAAACCACCAACCATATATTAATCCCTCCTAGCCATGTGGAATCCAGCAAGCGCCAGGTCTCGACGGGCACGAGATCGATCGAGGGACAGGACGCTCGCTGTTTTTGGGGATTTTTTTCAGACCTGTTGGACCTGTTAAAAATGGTGGTTTTACGGTGTTTACACCACAATTTTAGGATTTCTCCCCATGTTTTTGGAGGTACTTGGAGGTTCTAGGTACCGACCCTCCAAGTACCTACATGGGGTGCAGTTGATGGTACTTTTTATGGTATTTTAACACCCATACGTTGCCCTATAACGGCATGGTTATAAATCCACAAAAAAAAGCACTTCCAAGTCTACCCCATGGATCCAGCCGTGGAGGTTAGGTCCTTTCTCAGCAAGCATTTGAATCCATAGGGGTACAACCACCGGGTATACCCCATACCCAAGATGTTAGGTTCTTTTAGAATGTTTCACGGGTACTTGGAGAGGTAAGTATGTTATGATTTATAATGATCTAATAATTCAATATCCATCAATATCCATCAATATCCCATACCGCTTTTATCTTGCAGCACGAGACATTTGGAGGAAATGGGGAAAAAATTGGCCGAAAAAAATCCAGGCGAAGACGCCTTAGTCCTTCGAGATCACGGTGAGTTCCGACGTGACGCAACTGGTTTCTAGGGAAAGACATGGAGAATTGAGAAAAAGTCTGGAAAATTGAAGTGATTTTTCGATCAGCTGACAAAATGCTGTGATGATTGAAAAATGGTCGATTCCAATAGTTGGGGATGTGAAAATGCATGGACACAGTCGTTTCAGGCTATCTCAGGATGTTGAGTTGTCAAGGCACCAGGCACATGATTCCAGGGACATCGCCAGAATGGCTATTTGTTGCCAGAAATCCAGAGCGTTGTGCACCAGAAGGCATCGTCTTTGTCCAAAAAGTGCTCCGGCTGATCGGTTGCTCGAGGTCTATTCAATATCGAACCATCCCAGTATTCATCTAATACAGATGAACACAGAATCATTTCCCTTGTTCTGGTTCTACACTCACGGCGTCTCAACTACCCATTTAAGTGTCGTTTGGTGGGGATATGGCGATATTTGCAGTTTGAATACCTTTGCCCAATCCAATGTGGAACCAAAAGTGCTGAAAGTGCTGGGGGGTGCTAGGCTGTAGCGTGTGAGAGTTCAGGGACCTTGGGATACTTTCGAGAGACCTTTAGATATCTTTAGATGAACTGAGTTGGTGCGTACCTGATGACATGGTGGGTTAGGTCCGGTATAAGAGAAAAAGTCGGTTGAGTTTTAGGGTTGTCGGAAATCCTGAAAGCACCCCGTTTGCTCTGCAATAGTAAGCAGATTGTCCGCGGATGTCATTGCATGCTGCTTGGCTTCAAGACCGTTCAGCTCTCATGCGGCGCATGGGAAATGACAGCCCGATCTCGGTGAAATTCTTCACAACTGATGGATGATCTTGGCACCTTTTTTCCCAGTGGCCAGTGAAGACAAAGTGCCATTGATTCCATTGTTGATTCTTTCAGATGTTCAAAAATCTGTTGGATTTTCCTAACTTTGGTGCTGCGCATTTCCCATTCGTCGTGCCTTCCGGCGTGTCGGCAAACGAACATCATCGCGGGTGGATGACTTCTACGGTGAAGATGGCTATGCAGGTGCGCCAACGGCAGGTGGCTGCTTGGCTGTGTTCCAACTGGGAAGTTTACCAACAGGCGGGACATTGACTTGGACTATTATATATTTACAATGATTTACTAATAAGTTGGGGCATATATTATTTGTTATTAACTGGGGTTGAACCAAAGAAAAAGTGGTGTGAATAGGGTTACCCTGCACGCACCAAGAGTGGATAGAGATGATAGAGAAGCCATAGTGACTGGCATGAGTCAGGGGATAAAATCTCTGGTTATTTGTGACAGTTTGCGAACTTGAACATGGCCATCTATAGTTGATTTACCTATCAAAAGTGGTGATGTTCGTTGCTTTACCTATCAAAAATGGTGATGTTTGTTGATTTACCTATCGAAATGGTGATTTATGTTGATTTACCTCTCAAAAATGGTGATTTTCTAGTTACTAGTTGAAAATAGTTGGGTACCAGTGAGGGGCTTACTATCAATGGTGACTATCCGGTTGCTAGCTGGGATGGTGCCCCTCGTTCCAGTATTTTTAGGTGTCCAAGTTCCGGGGAATGCATTGGAACCCCAGAATCATCCAGAGATTGGTGATGTTATCTGGTTGGTGGTTTGGAACATGAATTTTATTTTCCCCAATAGCTGGGATGATGATCCAATCTGACTTTCATATTTTTCAGGGGGGTAGGTCAACCACCAACCAGTTATGTTATGATGTTTAATGACTTGAATGAGGAAACCTTCGCGAGCCCTCGGGATTTCGCTAGGCACAGAAAGCCAAAGGCATGGCTGATTCACTGACCGCCCGAGGCAGCCGGTTCTCAAAGGGAAGCTTCACAGGAAACCCATGGAACCTTCCCCCATTTTTTGGGGGGACAACCAGCAACGGTTCCCGGAGGTTTTTACATATGTTCCTCTAAAAAATCTTAAATCATCCCAGTTGGATCAATAGCTTAGCCACCAAAATATGTGAGATAGGCTACTTTAAGGGGGTCAGCTGGGTAAAGATGGCCACGGCAACTGGGATTCGAACGAAATATTGAATCGGTAGATACTGTGAAGCTGGTCTGATTCGGGTGCACAAGGTGCACCTGGGTCAAGAGAGACTGGCGGTGGAGAGGCCATTGTTTTGCCATAAATGCATGGTTTTGGAAATGTATCATTGGCTTCTTTTTGAGGTATCCAAGGTTAACCATGCTTAATTAAGGACGGGCAAGGTCGTCCCCACGCTTCAAATTTTGGTGCACCATTTATCCCCCAAAAAGTTGGGCTGTAGTTACTATTGTGATACTTCTGCCTGATATAATTTTGAGAGATTTTGAGGGTTTTATATCCACAACCAGCCACGCCCACCCCTACTTCCATCGGCTCGCAGTGAACATGTTTCCAGCTCACATGGGGTACGACACACCCATATGGCGGAAAGCCAGGGGCCTTTGTTGGAGTGGTCTTGTCCATACTGGAATCCAATTCCAATTTGCAGATTTGCATCCCTTGTCCCTTTTATATAAACGGATTTTGCATTTTGAAGATTTCGGTGCAAGATTGAACTATTGGTACACCAGAGTCATTGTTTGCGTCTTGACGTCACTAATTAGAGAGAGAGAGGCACGCAACATGCAAAGACCATCAAACCTTGAGCTGCTGGTGTGTTAAAACACAGCTGGTATGCCTTTGGCATCCCCTGTTGAATTCAACCAGTTCAGCCTGGGTCTAAACTATTGAACTTTTGGTATCTCCATGATTTGTAAAGAATCGACTTCAAGATACTTCAAGAACCAGAAAGTCACAAGTTGGCCACCAAGAGACCTAAGGTTTCCAGGTTTTTTCCTTTCAGAGCCGACCTTTCGCGTGGGTTTAGAAAAAGCGCACGCCGCTATGGAGCTGGAGAAACCACTGACAGCGACTTGGTGCCGTTGAGGGCGGGGATGAAGGAAAAGGTCAAGAGGACAAGTAGAAAACCGATGAAAACATAGAAAAATTGAAGGAATTTCTCATGAAACTTCAGTTTTCAGTGAAGTTTCACACTTCCAGCAAACAGAATGTGGAGAAATGTCCCGCCCAAAACACTGACTTCAAGCCAACAACATACTAAAAAAATGCAGAACGCCTGCTGGTCCTTGAATTTGGAGATGTCCCAACTGCCTCGTTTAGCATGCTGCCATGGAGAATCCAGTGAAAAACCTTTAAGATGAATCTTCCCAGCATTTCCCAGCGATGTAGAACGAACATGCGTCCCCAATGAAAGCCAAGGTACTTTATTTATAGGTCCAATATGGTGAAAAATCATACGGTACCGTAGGTTGCACGTCCAGAATCACCGTTTAAAACATTCCTGGATGTCCATCTCCATGATGATATGATGATATAGTTTGTACAAAAGTTCCAGAGAAACAAGAAATTATTCAGCGGAAACTTGTTGCTCTATTGTTTAAGTAATACCCCCTGGTAAATAAACATAGACCCTGGTAGTCATCGGGGTTGGAAGATTAGTTTCCTCTAAAAAATTGTGATTTTCAGGATCTATGTTAATTTACCAGAGGGAGATAATTAATAATTGAGATAATTGCAACTTTACACCAGATGCTCTCTCCATTCCCTCCAAAATCATTGGTTTCTTACCCCGGAATTCCCCAAAATGGTGAAGGAAAGAAAAGAAGTTAAATCAGATTTCGAAACACCTGGCTTTCCCACTATTTTCCCACTATTTTCCCACTATAAATCTGACCTTTCCACGTTTTTTCCATGCTTTTCCATGCTCCCCACTTTAGGCCACCGAGCGTTTGGCCAAGCGTCTGGGGCGGAAGCTGGCGCCCGTGCCCGGGGCAAGGCCAAACACCTCGCGGCCCAAGCAGAGCAGCCCGGTGTGGGGATTCGTGTGGGAAAAATGGTGGTTTCATGGGATTTAACCAACAAAAATGGTGATTTCTAGATGGGATTAATGAGGATTATATAGGATTATATAGGGATTATATAGGGATTATATAGGGATTATGGGATGATTAATGGGATGATTAATGTGGGTAAAACAATGCGATTCAACCAACAGCAATGGTGATTTCTAGATGGGATTTGTATATATCATGTGGTTAAAACAATGCCATTTTTACCAGCCATGACTGGGAATGGTAAACATACCATTTTATACCACCTATATATTTATGGTGATTGAACATCATCCCCCAAATGACCATAAATGGGTGGTAAACTAGCAGTTTGCGAACTTGAAAATTGCCATAGAAAGTTCGTTGATTCAGCTAATCCCAGCTATAAATGGTGATTTTCCATAGCAAACTGCTAGTTTACCAGAGGGTAATACCATATGGGTGTCTTTGATGGGGTGTACTTCCCAAATGGCCATTTTTGATAGGGAAAATGATGATTAGCCATGGGATTTGGGGGTGCCCTATTTTCAGACAAAGCCATATGGTTTTGTTTGAAAGGGTTTGCCTAAATTTGATGGTGATTATCTAGTTGGTGGTTTCAAACATGTTTTATTTTCTATAATATATGGAATGTCATCCTTCCCATTGACGAACTCCATCATTTTTCAGAGGGGTAGGTCAACCACCAACCACTTATTAATGGTTCATAATGACAATGTTGGTAAAGCACTGTCATAAACCACCCAGATGGATTAATGGCTTTTACCGCCACTACTTAAATGGTCAAGTTAGGGATGGTGGATCCTATTGCTTTACGGTCACATGACCGATGAGTTCGGGGATGATACTAACCAAGAATTGCCAATAGTAATAGTGGAAATATGTTTATATATATAACTATATATGATAAGAAAAATGGCAATATTATGATAATTACTATTGGCAATTACAGTTATATACTAAACATATATTATGATAATGATAAGAAAATAATCATCATAATATAAGTTTACATATAACTACATATATATATACCCTTTGGTACACTGTTACATAACTATGGAAAGATCCACCCTTTTATAGCTGGGTAAACCGGTAAACCAACAAACAAAATGGTCATTTTCAAGTTTGCAAACCGTAAACGTTTACCAGGCCGGGTATTTTCTATTGGGGAATCTCGGAATCCGGAATCCCGGGACGTCAACCAGTTTTTACGACACAGGACGACACGGGTTCTGAGTTTTGAAGACTCATAGATTTCACCATCAAAGGGCAATAACTGTTGGGAGTATTGAAGATTTACCACATTTTTGTATGGCTTGAAAGGGTTGAAACAGGTTGAAACCGGTGATTTTCCTGAAAGAGGGCATGGGTTAGCATTTGAGATATTATGGGTTGACCATGGGTTCATGATGGGAAATCGGATATACAGCCAACTGTGTGATATACTGATCATGGGGATTTAACATGATTCAATGATTTTACTATGAGCAATTGGGATTTATCCAGGCAAATATGGAAAGTTAACCCACAATAAATCGGGGTATGGGATGGGTCGATAGCTATATTGTACCATATTGGGGGGAAATCCATCAATCCCAGCTATTTGGGATCCACCACGATACCGAAATTGCTGAGGGGGAATCATCCAAATGTGATTCCGTTGGATTTTGAATTTTTGGTGCAGCTCCTGAATGATCAAAACTTGGGAAATCCATGATCAAAACCTCGGATGCGTAAGATTTGGTGATTTTTCACACAGACCCAAGGAAAAAAAATGCGGCGCAAAATGTTCAACCTTGAACTTGGCTGATGATCAATGATCAGGATGATGATCAATGCTGAAACGAAGCAAGCAATGGATATTCTGATGTTCACTTTGAAAACGTAAGACTTCAACGGCAGACAGGGAGATGCTGTTTTTTCCTTCACCAGCGGGGCCAAAAAAAGGATATGTTCTAGTTCTAGCAGTAAACACAAAGATGTGGCAAACATTTTTATACCCCCACTTGGATTATGTGTTTTTTCCTCACTGATAAGCCGCAAGTTTTGCGTTGGAGTACTCTAGCATAAACTCACCCCGCAAATGGGTGCAAATGGTCGAATTGGATTCGGTTCATGTGTTTTATACTTTGGTAAACTGTTACATAACTATGGAAAACCACCATTTTATAGCTGGGTAAATCAACTATTTCGACTGGACCATTTTCTATAGCTATTTTGACATAACCAGAGGGTATTTCCGGTAGATCACAAGGATCTCATTGCGACGTCACGACGTCCATGGCAGCGAGATTTATCCCCGACCACAATTCAATCAAATCTATACAATCTACCATCTGGATATTTAACATAGCCATGGAAAATGGCCCCTTTATAGATGGTTTAGCTATTGAAAATGGTGGTTTTCCATGGCTATGTTAAATAACCAGATGGTAGTGCCGTTTTTCATGAACCACAACTAGCCTCAACAAAATGAACATGGATCAATAGGTTAACTTGGGGGGTTCTCAAAATGGGGGAATCTCATGGGGTTTAAATACTAAGTCATGGTCATCCATGACTTGGATGATTTGGGGTAGCCAAGATTTCAAAAAACCTCCATATCATCAACCATAGTTAGCCCATTCACTATAGATATATCATGATATATCTATTGTATCTACAATGTGGGGCCCCCGTTCAATAGCTAAGTTGGTGTCTAACTCCAATAACTATGGTTTATGGTACGCAAATAACGAACTAGTTACTGGGGCGAATCTAAACCAACGTTCACATCACGTTTGGGGGCCCCACATTGTACCTTTGGGATGCCACCGGGGTTCCTGGTGGCATCCCAAGCAAGGCCCCGAAAACTCCATTTGGACCACCATGGAGATGCTCGGAGCGAGCGAGAGGTTGGGATACCCCCTGGTAAACATACAAAAAACTATGGAAAATCACCATTTTTCATGGGAAGATTCACGAACTAATGGTGATTTTCCATAGTTATGTTAGTTTACCAGAGGGTATACTGTATAGAATCTATACATATATATATACATATAAATATATATATATATGGGAATGTCATGCAATGGTGATATATATATATATATATTGTATAATATATATATAATATAATATAATATAATATATATAATATTATATATATATGGGATATGTGAGATATATTAGATATATGGAATATATGGGATATATAGATGGTGATTTAGCCAAGAAATCCTGCACCAGGCAGGGTAACGATTGGTAACTATGAAGCACTGTAAATAATGGGATTATATGGTGATTTTGCCCGGCTACTGGTGCAGGATTTCTTCCATCCACAGTAGCTATGGTATAGATGGTGCATAGAAATAGGTGATAAACATGATGATTTACGATTGTTTTTGAATATTAACATGATGATTTTCCATAGCAAACTGTTAAATCACCATTCAGATGGCATATGTTTTGCCAATAAATCTTGATTTGGGGGTCCTTTTTCCAGTTGTCCCATCTAAGTCTAAGTACTGTTGTAATGGGTAATTCAGCTTAGTGACTCATCAACAAGTTCAGCATCCTGACGGGAAATTACCATTGGAGGTGCTCCAAGCATGGGTCTTGAGGGGCCTTCACCATCTTTGGTGGATAAGCCTTGGAGGAAACCGCATGGACGTCAGTTCTCAAAGGCTTTGGCAATGATTTTAAAGTTGAACTGGGTTAAAACTGGAGCGTCATCGGAATGGCCAAGGGAGGAAAGGAGGACTGAGTAGTTCGTAAACGAGTCACTGATCCCTTGGTTTTCAGGGATGACCGCGACAACAAGGCAAACTCACGGACCCTAGTTCATGTTGCCATGGACAGTTTTGGACATGTAATTACTCACCCTTTCTATTTGACTGGAGCAAGGGCAGCTCAAACAATTTTTGAACTGTTTAATTTGGAGATGAGGATGTAGTTTTTCCTTCAAGAAAGCGTCGCTATAATATTCCTGTATGTACAGTGATTGATGTATGCATCTCATGCCGAAAACACTTGCATTTGACCTTGGCTAGAGGATGCTAGAGGAAAAATGATTCCAGAAATGTGAACTTGACATGACTTCTTACCATATTTGAGCATCCCCGTAGACATTCTGGACCACCTGATCCCTAACCAGGACTACGAACAACCGTGTTTCAACTGTTTCTTGTAAACAAATCCGAGAACAATAGTCAAACAGTTAACTAAGCATACCAAGCACTCTTTATTCAACAACAACAACAACAACCACAACCACAACCACAACCACAACAACCACAACCACAACCACAACAACAACCACAACCACAACCACAACCACCACAACCAAAACAACGCCGCCGCCTACCAACGTTAGCGGAAGACGATCCCAGCTGCTGTTTCCTCAGGAAAAAGCAGCTGATCTTGGAGTTGCAGAGCCTTCGCGAGGCGGATTCTGATGGCCCCATGGACCACCCGGCGTTTGTCTATGGAGAAACTTTAGGTTTGCGTGGGAAATCTTACCCAAAAGTACCATATATAAATACATAGGTTTATGAGAAACAATAGGTTTGCTAGATAGTGGCAGGCCAGCAAATTTCATTGTTGAAGTGCTTGTCATGTTGTTAAATCATGTTTTAAATCATAACTCGATAGGTAGAGTTTCCATGGGCCGATTGACCCTAAATCGCTCGCTCGGCCCACTGGAGATCAAGGCCTACGCGCGGAAGATTGCAGAGACGGAATTGAAGTACGAGAAGAAACTGTCTGAAGTTGAGGACCGGGATTTCATCAACGCGAAGGGAGGGGAGGTATAAACCAACACCTTTTGGAAAAAATGGGGTAATGGGATGAAGGAGTAGAATGTAATATAAATTGAGCATCATGGAGCATAGAATGGACATGGAGTATAATGGGACGATCAGGAAAAACCAACGAATTTTTGGACATAGCATTATAATGCATTATAGTGGTATAATGGACTATCATATATAATGTACTATCATATTGTCAGTGGGATGTATACACCATTGGTTTGAATTGGTTGAGTTATGAATCCGTAGCTTGACAGCAGCATGGCTGGGCTGGATATAAGGTGGTGCAAACAGGTATCAGTTGGCTTACCCCATGAAGACCAATTACAGTAATGTCAACCCCGGATTAATAAACCATGGTTTATCAATTATGTGGGTATTCCCCCAATAGTTATGATTTGATACTGAAATGGTACCTTCCCAATTAAACAGCCGTTTGGGGTTTATTAATCCAGGGTTGGCATTAATAATTTACCATAGATGAACTATGTTAAATGCACCATAGACCATAGTTGACCCATAGTAAACCTATAGTTATCAACTTCTCCACCAAACTGGAGCACTGCGACTGTCGCGTACCTCCCTGGCCTTGCCCGAGGACGAAGCACAGAAGTGGCTTCAGCAGAAGAAGGCGGCGCTTGATGATTGTTTGAACGGTTGATGAGGTGATTCCTTATGAGCTAGTCATAAATGTTTATAAACCACACCTTTAAAAAGTACATAATCTTAAATAATCCTGGTCTATCCCAGTGTTGTTTGCGTATGTTTGCATCAAATCGTATTTTTTTAAGTGAAAATGTGTATGCGCCAAACCTCACGTTCGCCCACACCCAAAGAACACACCCAAACACTATCATATACTTGTCATCAGAGGATGAATGAAAAAAGTGGCAATACACTGCGATTTTGACTTTAGGTTTCTAGGATTTAGGGTTTTAGTTTAGGTTTTTAAGCTTTTAGTTTTGTTTGGTTGTTGGGCTTTGGAAAGCAAAAAAAAACGCTAGCTCTACGCAGCGATCTGAGCATGTCAAAGGATATGCGGGATCCGATGCGGGCAAACATGGGGTTTGCAGCGAATGTGTATATCATAAAACATCTAGACATGTATCGATGGTATGCTTGAGAAACATGTATTATAGTTGCATGTTTGGCATGTACATACATTGATGGGCAACATTCAATGACTGCTTCATGGCACCTTGCTTCAAAACGCTTCCAATATAGAACACGTGTGTTCGGTGAAGTCGGATGTTTTTCCAATTGCTTAGATACATATTTCATTGGATCATGTCATGATCATATCATGATCATACAGCCACATGATTAAGTTTCTTAGTTTCTTGGACTGCAACATCATGCAACATCATGCAACATCATGCAACATCATGCAACCATAGCTTCCAAACCATGGTTTCTTTTTTTCGTCCCGTTTTCGTCCGTTTTCCGCGACCGGCTGAGGCAGAAGTGACTCAGATCCGAGCGGGGATGGTGGTGATGCAAGCACTCTTCGAGCAACGGAAACGAAAATTTATCACACAGATGGAGGAAGACAAAGCGCCTCGGTGGAAGGTTTGCGCCTCGAAAAAAAAAAAAAAACGTATGGAGAACATGGGGAATAACATGGAAGAACTTCTGAATATCCTATATTTATCATATTATAGTATAGTTATCTAGTGGATAATATAATGGCCAAGCATAATCAACCATATGGAGGTTTCCTAAAATGGTGATTTCACCAAGAAATGGTGATTTCATGGGTTTTAATGGGAGAAATGGAGGTTGTTCGTGGGATTTAACCAACAAGAGGAAACTCCTAAGTCATGGGGGTACCTCTGGTAAACTAACATAACTCTGGAAAATCACCATTTTTCATGGGAAAATTCACTATAAATAGTGATTTTCCATAGTTATGTTAAATTACCAGAGGGTACCCCCAGTTCTCATCCATTTATAAATAGTTTTTCCATTCTAACCATCCAGCGAGCTTGGGGTATCCCCATGACTTAGGAAACCACCATATGGAGAACATGGGGATGGGTTGGAAATGGTTAAAAACTGATTAATTATTACCATATGAGGGTATCGTCCCAGGGTTTTGACTGCCAAATGAGATCAAATGGCAAGTGGTGGCTGCCAAATAGTCTCTGTTGCTTGAATATATGGGGTTAAGATATGTTAAATTCATATGGTTACTAGTATGGTTGATTATATGGTTTCTTACTATGTAATAGTAGCTATAATTAACCACGAGAATCTTTGCTATTCATTACTAATATTCTCACAGTCAAGGGCTGATGATCGTCCCAATGAGTCGGATGGACAGTTAATGGCCCACTTATCATTTCAATGGTGATTTTCTATACCCTCTTGTTATTTGTTACATAGCCATGGTATAGATGGCCCTAATCGAAATAGATGATTTTCCCAGCGAACTAAACCTCCATTTTTTTGAGTGATGTTCCATGGCTATGTTAAATAACCAGATGGTAACTGTTGGTATACTGTTGGTCATTACCGGAGGGTATATCTTTGACATATCTCCCTATGTCTCAGTCTATCACTATGAAATCCCATAAAAAAAAAAAAACACTATGTTTGCTGGTTATATCCTGTTGAATCACCATCTTTATTGCCTCAATCCCATTCCCCATATGCGAACCATGGTGCTGGCATATTTACCTACAAAACTGGGTCATAAAAATGGGGTAAATGTTGCGAATGTTGGGATTCATATTCCAGCACCATGGGTTGCAGATGGGTTCAATCGCCATTTTTGAACCAAGACATGGCAGGTTTCTGGCAACTCGCAACTCGCCGAGGCGCAGAACGAGCGACTCCGGGTCGAGATGGAACGACGCATGGCGGAGGCAGAAGAGGAGTTTCTTGGGGAAAATCGATGGGAAATCCGTGGTGAATGGTATATGAAATTCCGAAGATGGGAAAATGCTGGAGATTTTGTGGGAAAAATCCTTGAATGGAGATAACATATGATTAAAGTAGCATTGTTAGAAGAAATTTATATTGGGAATTCATCCGAAAAAGACTTGGAGATAGATAGAGGGATAGCTGCTGATTCTGAGTTTTCCGATGTTACAAATGTTCATCTTGAGGTTTGGTTGTCACCTCCCAAACGCACCAACGAATGCAACCAGGGTCCTCTCCAATTCATCACTATTTTCTGTGATGCCCGGAAGCCCGGAAGTCACCATGGGCCATCAATACCAAGATGGTCTAATGACTTGGATGATTTACCCTCTGGTGAACTGTTACATAACTATGGAAAATCACAATCTTTAATTAATGGGAAAATCCACTATTTCTATGGCCATTTTCAAGTTCGCAAACTGTTAAATTACCAGAGGGTATCCCCATTTTAGGACTCGATTGCTAATTGCTCATGGCTTCCTCCGTATCTCCTGTTCCTCCGGTCCAAGTCTCCGTGTTCTCCATTGGACACCCCAAAAAAATCCTTGCAAAGTGGGGCCACCAAATAAACGATGGCGAAGTTGGTAACACAACTCCTATGTCACTTTATTTCACCATACTTATATATTATAACATACTATTAAGGTATATTAAGGTAGTATAGGTAGTATAACTATAGCTATTGGGGTTTGCAAACCAACATCAACATAACGTTGGGGGATCTTGGGGGCACTTCCAGGAGATGCGAGTCACCCGTCTTGCCTGCGATAAGAGACGCTCGTGTGAACCATGTGGGGATCGTGCCATGGAGATCCATGGAGTACGTGAACCAGTTAGTGAATTCATGGAGGTAAAACAGTGTCATGTTTACCACCCATTTTCCTGGGAATGGTGGAAATACATGGAAATACCAGCTATGAAAATTGTGATGACTGGGGGATGGTTTATTATTGTTTTACCCACATTATTTCGTTTGGATATAATGGTTTATAAGCCCCAAACACTGAGCAGTTAGCTAATCCCATGGCCCATCGAATAGTGGGTTTGAAAATTATAGGGGGGAAATCATAGTTTTGATATTTGATGAGATTTGATGGTTGAAAACCTCGCTTTCTACCCATAACATGGCAATTTTGAGGCTGTCCTCCATTTTCAGAACCATCGGTGCCATTTTTGTTGGGGTTCAGTGTTGCACGAGACCTGCGAAAATGTGGGTGCTGAGTCCAGGGGTTTCCCCCAATACCCCCCAATATTAAACACCTCCCTATTGGGGCAGGTTCCAAGTATGTGTCCCCAACCAAAAACCATTGTTTCCGGGGTTCAAAAAAAGGGGGGGCCTCAGGATCAATTAGTTGAGGGGATCCGAGGGGCCCAGAGTTCTCCAGGATCCAACTTGGATCAACGCACCGATTTCCATCTTTGATTTCCGGAGAGCATCGGAATGATATCTCTTGCTGTACCCTCTGGTGAACTGTTACATAACTGGAAAATCTCACCATTTTCAATGGGTAAAACCACTATAAATGGGCCGTTTTCAATAGCTATGTTAAATTACCAGAGGGTATCTCAGTTTGGCCTAAGAGAAATGAATAGTATTCAAGTATTCAATTTGATATATGATGTACAGGAACTGGACCATCTGACAATTCAGCTCCATTTTCTTCACAACCTGCCCTGTAGCAAAGATATGACAAATCCATGAACGTCCATGAAGATGCATGAACATGTACCATTTACAGATCACTTCCGAACAGCGTTTCATATATTTCTCATGCTTGATGAGGCTTGATCGTTGAAAGTACGAGTTGTAAGTAGCAAAAAAATCACCCCAGTTGTTTCAGTGGATGAAGCCTAGTGTAAATTTCCACATGAAATTGTTTAAAGTTTTTCCATTTTGCCTTGGACGAACTCAGAAAGAAGTCCTCACTTGGAGTTCTGACGGAACATCATTTGAGCCAATCTGAGCAATTAAAGATACCATTCTTGAGATTTGTTGATTAGGTTTTGAAGAGGTGCTACCACCTATAATACTGAATTTATTTGGGATTTTGATCGCTGGCAGAAAAAATTCGGTGCTTTGCGATTTCCGTAACTGGTCGGCTCAGAAATGGTGTTGAGCCATTGAGCCATTGAGCTGGCCAGGATTTTCCGTGGTGAGAACGTCTCTGTCTTGGAGTCTGGCACAGTTGTTGACCTCAAAATAGCTGCACAACAAACAGTCCTTGGGGCAAGGCTTCCTGAGACTTGCTGCACCTGGGTCACCTGATGGATGTCTTTTAGATGCAGATCGACTTTCTGGGCTTCAAAATGGAGACAGCCTTGCCGCTATTGCACTGCAGCCAAAGATAGCTGCAACGTGTCGCGCGTTTGCTTTGTGGGTTGTTGGAGGTGATACGATTGTCACATGGGGCCATCCCGACTATGGTGGTAACAGCTCCAAAGTCCGTGATCAGCTCAGGAGTGTTCAGCAGGTTTGTAGCACAGAGGCTGCTTTTGCTGCAGTTCTGGTAGATGGAACCGTAGTTACATGGGGTGATCCAAGTTTTGGTGGTGACAGCTCCACAGTCCGAGATCGGCTCAAGAATGTTCAGGATATTTATGGCGCAGCGAATGTTTTTCTTGCTTTTTTGGCAGATGGAGGCAAGGGGTGGCATGGGGCTGTCGAACGAAGCAGATTTCTGACAAGGGCTCTACTGCTGGTGCTGCTGCTGCGTGCTTGGCATTTGCATCATGGGGCGGTCCAAACTGTGGTTGTGACAGCTCCAGAGTCCAACATTTGCTCCTGAATGTCGTGAATGGCAATTCATCAAGCAGAATTGTGTCACCAGGCGTGCTTGTGCTGTGACTTTGGGAGATAGAAACGTTGTGACACATGGTGATCCAAGTTTTGGTGGTGACAGCCCGAGAGTCCAAGATCTCCTCAGGAATGTTCAGCAGATTTATGCCACACACCATGCTTTTGCTGCAATTTTGGCAGATGGAACAGTGGTGACCTGGGGTAATCCCGAGTATGGTGGTGACAGCTCCACAGTCCAAGATCAATTCAGCTACGTCTAGATTCTAGATTCTAGATGGCTCATGAGGAGTGGCACGACCATGGGGAGAGAGAGAGAGAGATGTGGAGTGGCACTGCGGCACTGCGGATCACAGTTGGCCATACAAATAGCGACAACATGCATAAGAAGGTGCGCATGGTTCACTTTCCACTTTCAGTACTACCTAGGGTATATCATGTGGCGGCGTCTACAAGGACATGGTGTGTCCGATTTTGGGTCATTCGCCCACTACCTGCACCATCCGGTGGAATATGATGAATATGTACTATGACCATGCCATGCAGATTGCACAGAATGCATAGCAACATCAAACGACCTCACCAAGAAGGATGGTTTGTGTTATATAGGGAAACCTTGAACTTTGGCAGGGGATAAACGGGGATAAACTGGGATAACCAGAGTTCTTGAGTCAGGATGACCCATAGTAACCCATAGCAGTAACTTTGGGAATGCTTTTATATATGCACAAAGAGAGAGGGAGAGAGAGCAAAAAAATCTGAGTCAAAAATCCCTGAGTAGGCTTATCACATTTATTACTTATATACCCGCTATATTACTACCAGAGGGAAGTTTTGTTTCAAACCCCATTTTAAAAAAATATTTATCCCCGATATTGGCTACAGAAACCACATGAACCTACTAATAATTCCAGTTTTCGGTTGCTGAATTTCCTATATGAATCTCTGTTCCCTATGAATCCCCATAAATCACTATTTCGTTGGTGCATTTCCCATTTTTTTCCCCTAACCCAGGCCTACCCCGAGAGGTACCTACCATGTATATAAGGCCTATTTTTCAGGCCTATGCAAGGGAACATCCCCAGAAATTATGGCCTTCATTGGATTGGAACTTCCATATTTAATGGTAAAAACCATGGTTTCCTGATGTTTCCGGCTAATTTTTTCCCTAAAATATCTTAAAATCAATCCAATGATTATCTGATTGGTGCTTTGGAACACTTTTTATTTTGCCATATATTGGGAATGTCATCCCAACTGACGAACTCATATTTTTCAGAGGGGTAGGGATCAACCAACCAGATGATTATTAACCATCATTAACCATCATCATAACCATATTATATTAACCATGAATATTAACCATGAATATTAACAGTATATTACCAACCAATGGAATATGATAACCATCCAGAATTGTATGGTACAGTACCTCCACTTTATCCTGAAATTCCCCTGGAAGACGAACGTGTTTTCGCTCAGAAATCACGGAGATGGAGGCGTCGCACGCCAAAGAATTGAAGGCAGTGGGGTTTTTCCATGGTTTTCCCCATGAAAAATGACGTTTTTCATAGGAAAAACATGGGACTATCATGTAAATTATGGGAAATTATTGCGCGATATGGGGGTTTTGATGGGAAACATAGCTAGAACAGTGAGTTTATTGATGTTGATTAATTCATGACGAAGAAACGGTTGAAAAGTGGTGAGTTGTGGTGCTTAAGCCTGTTTTTATTCTTTTTGTGAACTTGAAAAAAAAACAACTATGAAAGCACTCAAAACCAACATGTGATATTTTTCTATTTTCTTGATTATATAATTGAAAATGCGGCGGATCAGCGACAAGGAAATTTGACAGCAAAACCACATATGTTCATGCTTGAAACATGTCAGCATGCATGTTTTTGTTCTGACAGATTTCAGGTCCAGCACACGTTGCTTACCCTACAGGTAGGATTCGCCAATCACAAAACTAGGGCATCGGATTTGCTCAGGGATTGGAGGTAGATGAGGTAGGATCGGATGAAAAAAGTGTCCATAAATGGAGGTACCTCAAAATCGATGGTCTTTTCATGGAAAGTCCTATTAAAGTTTATGATTTAGGGGTAACTACTTCCATTTTAGGAAACCTCCATATGTGTCCATAAATGCATTTACATTTGGTAGTTAGAAGGTTTAACGCCATGTTTGCAGAGTGTTTCCTCATTTTTGATTGGTCGGTTGAACGCATGCAGTCAGATTTTCAGGCTTTTGGGGTAGCTTTGCAGGTCACGGAGAAACAACTCAAGCAAACTTGGGTCGTGTGGATATTTAGGAGAATGTACCCCAAAATCGAATGGTGTATCATAATTGTCCCATCAGATTCCTATAATTTTATGGATTTTCCACATTCAAATGCTTGGTTGTTAACTTGGGGACTGACCAGTAGCCACAGCCGACCAGGACTTGGATTCCCTGCAACGAAAGACGGAAGAGCGCGCTTTTCACGCCGAGAAGCAAGTGCCTTGGCGAGCGAAAGGCTTGGTTTAATGAAGCCATTGTTGGTGGAACCATGGTTGAGAAACCACCTGGTGAGTCATGGGGGATGGTGAATCTGAAAAAAATGCTTTACTAACATTAGTGGGTTTATGGAGGATAGTATGGTTAGTGGAGTTTAGACACCAACTTGTGTAGAAAATATATAACTTTCGTGGGATTTGCCCCTGGCAATCATTGGCTTCTGTAAATGGTGCATGTTCCATTGCCACAGTTGCCCGAGGGTAGACAGGAAATGGTGGCTACATGACCTACAAACATGGCTAGATGGTGGTTTCACACATGAAGTTGATCTCTACTTGGGACGTTGATGAAATCACCAACGAGAGTGTCGTTTCAAGAAAAAGCTTGGTTTAAGAACAAGATGTTGATTTGAGCCTATGTTCAACTGTGGATGAAAGTGAACATTGATCAGCATCATAATTCCTTCACAAGAAAATCAAGAAAACATGAGGTTCCAGTCAGTTGTAATTTTAATGGCCATCCCAATTGATCTCAGCACCGTCAAGTTGATTGCAGCAGTTCTGCGCTTTGTGTCGCACCACTTGCCAGTCCATCAAAATCCTATAAAGTCCCACTAAATTAAACAAATAGGATTTGTTTTCCTTCTATCGTTTGGTTGGTGTTACTATAGGATACTTAATCCCATTCTATGCTCCCAAATATCTGCTTTTAACCTCTATTTATCCCCTACATCCACCATGGTTTTAGATGTTTTGGCATGGGTTTTTCGCCAGGAATCGCAGGAACCAGGTCACTACGTTGGAAATTCCAAGGTGAAAATGGGGGAGGATGAGATCGCCAGGTACCTGGGAAAAGACAACCTGGGGGCGTCAAGGGAAGTTCCAGAAAAATGACCGGATATAGAACCAACCAAAATTTCATGAAATTTAGATACAATGTGGGCCCCCAAGATAGCTAAGTTGGTTTATAACTCCAATAACTATGGTTTATGGTACTTATAACTATAGTTAATGGCGTTTATAAACCAACTTATAACTGGGGGGGGCCCACATTGTATATATATATATACATCCAACTATTAGTTGAGGACAGGGTACCCTCCGATGTCAGGCTGGGAAATCCCCTGGGCAACGAAATATGGGATGCTCATGGATTTCCAGCAGACCATGTTTCATTACCAGAGGGTATCTGGTTGGTGGTTTGGAACATTTCTTATTTTCCATAATATATGGGATCATCCTTCCCATTGACTAATATTTTTCAGAGGGGTTGAAACCACCAACCAGGTATTCTCTGGAAAGGCAACCTAATGCAGATGATCTAGTTTTTGCAATTTGGACTCGCTAGTTTGCAAGGCTGCAAAGCCAGTTTGATGAAATTTGTCACCCCCAAAGGCTGCCCTGAAGCACTTGGATCTGACATGAAACTGTCCGTCCAAATGTTTGGCACAAAATTGGGCGATTCTAACCCCAAGTTGAGAATATAACCCCTAGTATGATCATATATCCACCTATCAATGGAACCTTCTCATGGGCTGACAACAGGCTCCATGAAACTGAGAAGAGTTGCCGCTTCGAAATCGAAGATTTGCGCGTAAGGTCAACGGAAACGGGATCAAATGGGACCTGGCCAATGGGAGTGAGCCGGTGAGGTCATTTGTGGGGTCGCCAGCTGCAACCTTTTTTTTCATATAATATATGTGTTTGGATGTGTTTTCCTTTAATCAGGATGAAGGATTGAAGAAAATTAGCGAAGTTGCTGTAGAGTTTTGGAAAGTTTCATGAAGGGGGAATCATCAAGGGGCCGCAGCAAACTATAGCCGAGCTTAATTCCCTGTGGATGTTTTCTTCAGCCGTTTGGCTGCGCATCCATCACAGCGCCATTCGATGCCAATCGTTGTGCCATTTCAAGGGACTCGTGATATGTGGCGGATGTTTCATGTAGGTAAATAATGTTAAATTGGGAGACAAATTCAGGAAATTTCAGTTCCGAAAATGCACAGAAGTAGCCCAAGTTCAGGCAACCAGAACCATGATCAATTCCTCCTTTGTTTTCTTCAATCCCCTTGTTTTCTTCTATGTTGCAACGTTCTTAGTTTCATCAAATCACATGATGAATTGCTCATTTTCTTATAGTGTTCTTGGTAAGTTCTTAAAATTATTAATAAGTTCTTAGTGTTTCTTTTTTTGATGTACCCTTTGGTATTTCAACATAGCTATGGAACATCGCCACTCAGTTCATTGATTTGTCCAAACTGAAATTGGCGATTATTCCATAACAAACTGAAAGTTTACCAGAGTGTAGTCCATATCTTTACCATGATTCACCTCATGACATCTCATCATATCATGATTTAAATCATACTAAATCACCGTGTTTGTTGGTTAAATCACCAAGATCATCATCTCCGGATCTCCGCAGGTTGCAGGACGCGGAGCGGGCGGAAGAACTGCATCGCGTGCGAGAGAAGGTGGAGTTCCTGGAGGAGGAACTTCGAAGGACGCGCAGCTTGGACGGGTCGATTGGGGTCGATTGGTGCAAGGTGGTGCCCCAGTGAGCTGTTCATGCTAAGTTGGTGCAAATAACTCCAGTAACTATATGGTTTATGGTAGATATATGATAGATATATCTATACTAACTACGTATGGATGTTTAAGGTAGATATATCTACTAATACTTACTATGGTCTATAAACCAACGTACTGAACTGGGGGGGCACAAGCTTGTGGGTTTGGGATGGTTTGGGATTACGGAAAATACTCCGATTATGGAATATTCACCTGGTGAATAGGGATTGACTGGAACATGAGACGAAGAATTTGGACTGTGGGTTTGGGGATATTGTTGTTGATATAATCTATCTGGTTAATAATGATTATAAATATAAGGTAAGTAATAGGGATTTCATGTGATTTAATGGAATATGAATGAATGAGAACAAATCGGGGAATTTTATTAAGAAACATGGGGATAAAATTGACAAAAATGACCGGAAGGAACCTCGGACAACAAATTGAAAAAAAAGACCGTTGGTTTATAACTATAGGTTAACTATAACTATGGTTTATGGAAGATATATATATATACAGTATATATACTTAATCGGGTTTATCAACCAACTTAGAACTTGGTTGGACTTGGACTTGGGATAACATAACCTATTTGGTGAATAGGAAGTTAATGGAATATGAATCGGAATATTGATGGTTAACGGCGATTTTGGACAAGAATTGGAATGTGGTCTGGGTATTGAGCAAGACTTACATGGCGATCGAAGCAACATTTTGTTCGTGGTATAATGGGGATACAAACGGAACCTTGGAGGAATTGGAATCGGATTTGGATATATTCATGGGATGAACAACCAACAATGTGGGGTTATGCATTGGGATACAAAGATAGATGTGGTATGTGTGTGTGTACATATATATGTATATATATATGCAACTAAAAAACCCTTCTATCTTGGAGAGAAAATGGAGCTGGAAGAACCACTGAGATGAACATGTATAGCTGTATAACCAGCAGACATGTGGATCAAATCGGAGTTGGAATGGGATATAAGTATGATATAAGTGACCAAATATCCTCAATTTACACGTTCATCCAATTTTTACCATCATCAATGTAAATGAATTATATGCACCATATATGCACAATATGTACATAGATATATAATTATATGTGTGTGTATGTGCATCTATCTATCTATCTATCTATCTATTTATCTATCTATCTATCTATCTATCTGTTTGTTTGTCTATCTATCTATCGATCTATCTATCTATCTATCCATGTGTTTCTTTGTTTGTTTGTATGTCTGTTTGTCTCTCTATCTATCGATCGATCTATCCATCGATCTATCGATCGATCTATATATCGTATCTATCTGATCTATTTTGTCTAGCTTATCTATTTTATCTATTTTATCTATCTTATCTTTCTTATCTATCCTATTTAGTTTATCTATCTTATCTATCTTGTCTATCTCATTTATCTCATTTATCTAATCTATCTATTATATCTAATCTATCCTATCTATCTAATCTATCCTATCTATCTAATCTATCCTATCTATCTAATCTATCTTATTTATCTCATCTATCTCATCTATCTAATCTATCTATTCTATCTAATCTATCCTATCTATCCTATCTATCTAATCTATCCTATCTATCTAATCTATATAATCTATCTAATCTATATAATCTATCTAATCTACCTAATCTATCTAATCTATCTAATCTGTCCTATTTATCCTATCCTATCCCATCCTATCCTATCCTATCCTGTCTATCTTACTTATCTATCTTACTTATCTATCCTACTTATCTATCTTACTTATCTATCTATCTTATCTATGTATCTTATCTATTTATCTTATCTATCTATCTTATCTATATCTATCTGTATATCTATCTATCTATCTACCTACCTACCTATCTATCTATCTATCTATCTATCTATTCTTTTTATCTATCTATCTATCCATCTATCTATCCATCTATCTATCTATCTATCTATCTATATATCTAATCCTATCTATCTATCTATGTATCTATCTATGTATCTATCTATCGATCGATCTATCTATCTATCTATCGATCTATCGATTTATCGATCTATCGATCAATCTAATCCTATCTAATCCTATCTAATCTTATTATCTAATCCTACCTAGTCCTATCTAATCCTATCTAATCCGATCTAATCCTATCTAATCCTATCTAATCCTATCTAATCCTATCTAATCCTATCTGATCCTATCTAAACCTATCTAATCCTATCTAATCCTATCTAGTCCTATCTAATCCTATCTAATCCTATCTAATCCTATCGAATCCTATCTAATCCTATCTAATCCTATCTAATCCTATCTAGTCCTATCTAATCCTATCTAATCCTATCTAATCCTATCTAATCCTATCTAATCCTATCTAATCCTATCTATTCCTATCTATTCCTATCTATTCCTATCTATTCTATTCCTATCTATTCTATTCCTATCTATTCCTATCTATTCCTATCTATTCCTATCTATTCCTTTCTATTCCTATCTCTTCCTATCTCTTCCTATCTCCTCCTATCTCTTCCTATCTCTTCCTATCTCTTCCTATCTCTTCCTATCTATTCCTATCTATTCCTATCTACTCCTATCTCTTCCTATCTCTTCCTATCTCTTTCTATCTCTTCCTATCTCTTCCTATCTCTTCCTATCTCTTCCTATCTATTCCTATCTATCCATATCTATCCCTATCTATCTATCTATCTACCTACCTATCTATCTATCTATCTATCTATCTATCTTATCTAATCTTATCTAATCTTATCTAATCTTATCTAATCTTATCTAATCTTATCTAATCTTATCTAATCTTATCTAATCTTATCTAATCTTGTCTAATCTTATCTAATCTTGTCTAATCTTGTCTTATCTAATTATCTAATCTTATCTAATCTTATCTTATCTAATCTTATCTGATCTAATCTTATCTAATCTTATCTTATCTTATCTAATCTTATCTTATCTAATCTTATCTAATCTTTTCTAATCTTATCTAATCTTATCTAATCTTATCTAATCTTATCTAATCTTATCTTATCTAATCTTATCTAATCTTATCTAATCTTATCTAATCTTATCTTATCTTATCTAATCTTATCTAATCTTATCTAATCTTATCTAATCCTATCTAATCTTATCTAATCTTATCTAATCTTATCTAATCTTATCTTATCTAATCTTATCTAAGCTTATCTAATCTTATTTTAATCTTAATCTTATCTTATCTTATCTTATCTTATCTATCTATCTATCTATCTATCTATCTATCTATCTATCTATCTATCTTTTTCTGCCATGTTGTGCTATTTTGTGCCCAACGATTTCGCAAGTTAGTCCGGCCGCCCTGAGGCGAACGCATGCAGAATCGCCGGCACAATGAAGCCGAAGACTTGCGAAAGGAGTTGATGGAATATGTGGCTGGGCACAACTGGGATGAGTCGTTAAAAATTGTGTTTTCGGCCATGAAAAATTGGGCATTTAGCATATGCTATTAGCAAAAATTGATAAAAATTGGACATTTAACATATTTTATAGCATATTTGGGTATGAAAAAATGGTGAGTAAACCATGAAAAGTGGTTTATTATTGGGCTGATGGTGGTATAATAATGGATTTAGCTATGAAAAATGGTGGTAAAAAATGGGGCCGCCACATAGGGAATATATTGGGGCTAACCTGGATCAATTATAGCGACCGAACTGCGATGGCACTGGAATGGTTGGGGTAACTATTCCAAAATAGCCTTATTTCAGGCTAGTGAGCTGCTATAATTTCTCCGGAAATTTTGGAAATCACTAACCAAAAAACCAGGGGATCCAAGCCTTAATTGGATAGCTTGGGCTTGGTATTCCATCCCCATGGGTATACCACCAAGCCTTGATTGGGGATCCCATGGGATTCGCCATAGTTTTATGAGGATTTTAACCAGCTATGCTATTTGTAAGGCGGAGATCTTCGATTCGTTTGTGTAGTCAACAGGCATGGGACATATATGTTTTCACACGTTTTTTGCGATGGGGTAAACACCTGGTGTGTCTATTGCCAAAATAGCAATGTTGGAATTCATGATGATCAACCAGCGGATTCACTAGGGGATCTAGGGCTGTTTCCTGGATTTTTCATACAACCCCCACCAAAAGAAACATGTGAGAGGTTCCATGTTCAAATTCAGGGCACGATCGAATAATTAGTGCAATCACCTGCCAAGTGTTGCTCCGTTGCCGGAAAAAGAGGTGAAATTCATCGTGAAGATTCTTCCGGAGGAGTGCGGCGTTTCCAGTGCGTTTCCGGTGCGTCTGCACCACCTTCCAGGGAACAGCATGGAGTAGCGATTGGAGTCGTTTGGGGTATTTAAGGACAACCCCAACGACACATAAAATTTGCTATGTCAGCTATGTTGTTTGTTGCAGTATACACCGCAAACCATAGCCAAACTCTAGTTCTATAAGCCAGCTTGGCTTCTCAGGGCCACCATGGTGAGGTTGCTGATCGGAACCCGTTGGGGGATGCACCCCAGTTCTTGAACAAAACCAACAAAGCCCAAAATCATGTTGTTGACTATCAATCCCATGAATTCACCATGATTTTCTGCCAAAATCCACTCCAATCATATTTTGTTTCTAGTTAAATCCTCCATTTCAGAGAAGTTTCCCAGCTTCAGGCCATTTCCCTTTGGCCTTCCCATGGTTTTCCCATGGCTTTCGCCCAGGAGTGGCAGGAGAACATTCGCCCGGAGCTCTGTCAGAAGCTGGGCGTGCCAACCATGGCGTTGGAGCCTCCAGAGGCGCAAGAGCGATCCGTCAAGCAGAAGAAATCACTAGAAATTACCCTCATTTTAGAGGGTTTTGAGTGGTTTATGGATAGTATATAGATTTAGTAGATGTCAAAATGGATTTCACTGGATTTTAGTGGATTTTCATGGATGTTTTCATGGATGTTGATATAGATTGTTCCATGGATTTATTTAGAAATTGTGCTGGATCTTAATGGTGGTATTTTATGGGACTTTTTATGGGATATACCGATATACCACTATTATGTCCCATATACCATTTATATTTTCATGGGATCTAAATGGGCATTTTATGGTATTTTCATGGGATCTAAATGAGATAATATGCCATTTTAAGAGGATCTCTTTAGGATGGTTACCCTCTGGTTATTTGGTTATGACTAACATAGCGAACTGGAAAATGACCCATTTATAGATGATGTACCTATTAAATATCAATAATTATCATATACCCTCTGGTTATGACTAACAGTTTGCTATTGAAAATGGCCATAGAAATAGTTGATATACCCATTAAACATGGTGGTTTTCCATAGTTTTTTGTATGTTTACCATTTGGTTATGACTAACATAGCCATGGTATAGATGGCCCATGGAAATAGATGGTTTACCGAACTGAAAAATGGGTGGATCTTTCCATGGCGAACTGTTAAATAACCAGATGGTAAACATACAAAAAACTATGGAAAAACACCATGTTTAATGGGTATAATATCAACTATAAATGGCCATTTTCAATAGCTATGTTAAAGTACCAGAGGGTAGTTTCAAACAGTTTTTATTGTCCATAATATATGGGATAATCCTTCCCATTTTTCAGAGGGTTGAAACCACCAACTGATTACCAATGGTGATTAACGGCTGGCTGGTGATTTCAAATATGGTTTTCCACAATATATTGGGAATAATCATCCCATTGACTAATATTTTTCAAGATGGTTAAAACCACTAACCAGTTTACCAATGGTGATGAACGGTGATAATATTATAATCGTCATTATCAATGGTGATGAATGGGAATATGGGAATATGGCACGGGGGTCGCATTTGCCCCTACCTCATGTGGGGTCGCACTTGCCCCCGTAGGGGCGAATGTGACTCGACCTCGTTTTGCGTGGCAGGCGCAGTAGTTTTAGAGGTGGGAAAGGATCGTTTTCCAGCTGTGACAGTCAGCTCTAACATCCTTTTCAAGCAACTTCCAGCCTGTTCTGCGTGCTATGTTGCAACATCCGTGTCAAGCATCTTCCAAGACGCTCTGGATGCTACGTTGTACCATCCGTCTCCACTAACTTCCAAGACGCTCTGGATGCTCCTTTTTCAACACGCAGTTCAAGGAACTTCCAAACTAGTTCTGCGTGCTACGTTGTAACATCCATGTTAACTAACTTCCAAGATGTCCTGGTTGCTTTGTTGCAGCATCCATTTCGAGTAACTTCCACCCAGGTCCACCCTTAACCAATGTCCCAAGTCCCTCCTAAATGTCCCTTGTCCCAAGATTAAACCCTAGAGGGCGAATGTGACCCCTGCCCCTGGGAATATCATGGCAATATCATGGGGATTAGTGATTAGCAATGGTGATTTAGGCTGATTATATAATTATAATGGTGGTTAATGATGGTTAATGATTATTGGTGATGAATGGTGATGAATGGTGATGAATGGGAATATGGGAATATAATGGGAAAATGATGGGAATAATTGCCAATGTTGATTTATGCTGATATATGGTGATTATATGATTATAATGGGGGTTAATGATTATCAATGATTATCAATGGTGATGAATGGTGATGAATTTACATGGTGAGCACCAAAATGGTTTTGAATGGTAATTGATGGTGATGAATGGCGATTAATGGTGTTAATGGTGATTAATGATTATTAACTGAATCACTACAAATTAGTGGTGATCAATGATTCTCCAGTAATAACACGGGGCAAGCTGGGAAACCTCCGAACTAGCCATGGAGGCTTTTAGCCAGTGGAGATCATCCATAAAATTCCATAAATATCTATGAATCTGATGTTTTCGATAGATGGCAATGGAGAATGTCACATTAATGTCACATTAATGTCACATTCACAGGTGCTTTTCCCACTGAAAAATGTCCATTTCTCGGGATCATTCTACAGGATGAAGTCATTGTGACAACTGTGACATCACTGGAATGTCTGTGAGTTCGCCAGGGGAATCATCCCAGCTTGACTAAACATCTTACCCCGGAGCGTTTGACCCTCCAAGTAGCTCGAAACATTGGTGAAAGTATCAAATTTCTGGGATCAAAGAACCATTTTTATGGCTAGAACTCGATACTTGAGGTAGCCATTCATATCATTGATAACCATTAAACATCTCGAACCATGACATCATGAAAACCCAACTAATTTGACGATCAACCATCCCGCAAATACATATATATATACATAATCATCATCAAGTGTCGCCCGGTTCGTTCCAAACAAGTGCTGGCAGGTCTTGGCAGATTTGTTGCTTGATTCAGACAATAAAGGATGACAAAGTTCTGTTGAAACGAATGGAAAATCTTACTTTTATCAATCTAAAATTTGAGGAAATGGATCGAACGACTTCAACAAAGGAACCTTGGATGAAACAATAATCACACTAACCAGAGTATTGACTTTATATTATTAACTGGAATCAGTGTTCAACCTCCCATACTAAAAGGACCCTCCCCAGCAGGCAACCGTGGTGGCCGATGCCATAGCGAAGCCGTCGAAGTTGACGCCGGCGCCCTTGGCTGCCTTGGCTCCGACGGAATTTCCGGCGCCAAGGGCAACAATATGGTGATATCAGTTACCCTCTGGTAATTTAACATAGCCATGGAAAATCACCATTTTTAATAGGTAAACCATCTATAAATGGTCGATTTTCCATGGCTATGTTAAATAACCAGAGGTTATATATTTGATTAGGGGATTCTAGTAGGGATAGGACCAACTGATCAGTTGCATTTGATGACATAATTGATTGTGTCTAGGAATCGTACGGCTATGCAATTTGACTCGTGTAAAACATCAGGCAACAACATTATGGTTATATTTTAGTTATGGGTGATATACCAGATCATATAGCACGGAATATAATGAGCCATATGGGACACCATGGAATGTGATGGGATAGAACCAGCCATGTAGGGATATGAGGCTTGTCTGAAAATGTGTATCCGCAAATTTGACGGCTGATCATGTTTTCTATGGTTAAAACGGAAGTTTTGGTGTATACCCAATTTTCAGAAACACCATACGACTAGGCTAGGACCAATTTGTGCATAGATAGCTAAGTAAACGGTATTTATACATATGCTTGTAAATAATACACACAAATACCGTTTACTTTGTGTGATATAATATATTTTACGCAAATAATATAATATGATATGATTAATATAATATAATATAATATAAATATGGTCCCGGCCGGCGGCCGGCAACCCGTACAAGCCGCTACAGACAGCCTACATATCACTTGCCCTGACCCTGCAAGTTGATATGCATATATGCGAACATATGTATATTTACATTTGATACATACAAGGAGAGAGACATAAAGAGAGAGATAGGTATGGTTAATGTGGTTGTACATGTCTACACTGTCTACACTGCAGCAAAAAGGAATCCCAAGATTATAAAGAAATAGATTCGCATTGATATTTTCCTAAAGCCCAGAGATCGCCTTTTCGATCTTGACATGTAGAGTCAGAGGTTCAACCGAAGTTCAACCAGTCTAAACGTCGGTTGTTGCCCTGCGCTGTTACCCTGCGCCTTGCTTTCGATCGAGCAAAATCTGCACGATCGTCATGAGGACTTCGGACTTGGAATCGTTGCCTCGGATCTCACCAAAACATGGCCGACCTGCAGGTCGCCCATTCAACAGCCGTTTCGGGTTCCCCAACTGATTTTGTTGTTTGTTTCGATGGTTTCCATTCAAAATAGATAAAATATCATGTGTTGTTGATTTCTGTTGGCTATGATTGTCCAAAAATGATCTTGTTTTAGGTTCCTCTGGCAGGTTTGTTCCAAAATTCAGCTATCTGAGTTTTGAACCAGGTTCCTGAAGAGCATATATTTTCTTAAGTCAATGGCCAGATATGGTAGGGCTGAACATGTGTAGATCGAGACAAGCAAACCCTACTGTACCATACTGGACTATAATTGCAGCAGAATGATACGGGATAACTCACATGCACATACCCTCTGGTTATGTCAAAATAGCTATTGAAAATGGTGATTTATAGTGGATTTTCCCATGAAAAATGGTGATTTCCCATAGCTATGTTAGTTTACCAGAGGGTAAATCATGGGCAGACACAATAGAAACTTAGTCAGGAAAAATGTGTAGCGGCCAGAGTCATTCATTTTTTTTCGCTGATATTCATCCCAAACATCTTTCGTGGATCAAGAGCCTTTTTGCACCAAATATATACCATAATGTAACGAAGAGTTCAGAGGACTTGATTCTGCAGCACATATCCACGCCTCTCGTGCACCATCAAGATGATGGTGAGTGGGAGGAAAGATCACTGGCCATCAGCGCCAAAAGCAGTGGGATCCTGCAGCCAATGTCTAACGCGACTCAATTGCGGCGTGGACCTTAACGCTTGACCTTTGGGCAAACCATCTGGTTATGACTAACAGTTCGCCATGGAAAGATCCACCCATTTTCCCATTTTTAAGTAGGTAAACCATCTAATTCTATGGTGATTTTCCATGGCTATGTTAGTCATAACCAGATGGTACCTGTTCCAAAAATTCTCAAAGGGTCGATTTTTGTTGTTTGCCATGGAAAAAGACGGTAAAAGTTCCATTGCCCAAACCACATGTTTCTGTAAAATTGCTGTTTTAATGGACCAATTGGCCAATCGTTTTTCGCAAGACCTATGGAATTACCCTCTGGTAATTTGTTACATAGCTATTGAACAATATTGAACATGGCCATTTGTTGTGGATTTAGCCATGAAAATTATCTAAATTTATATCATGTGAAATATCAAAATGGTGGATCTTTCCATAGTTATGTAAACCTTTACCAGAGGGTATGAATGGAATGATAGAGTTGTCCCTTCGTCCCAGCAGCCAGGCCCAGGCGAGTCCGAAGGAACCACCAAAAAAGAGGCCGCTGGAGCTTCCGGAGCGCTGGATGATGATGATGAGGTGCTGAATGACTCGGAGCCAGTGGAGATGGGCGATGCAGAAACCCCCCAAAAAAAAGGGAGATCAGCAACAAAGAAATGATGATATGCAACCATCATCAACCATCTATAATAGTCTATATAAAACATGATCATCAATTCTTGTTCCTTCACCATAAATACAGAGAAGCTATTTGTAAAGTCAGGATGCAAATTCATATAACATGGAAAGTTAAGGAACAAGAATGGAAGATCCCGGTGAAATGGACTAGGCTCCATTCAGTTCTTGTTTCTGAATGGGCGTAAAAACACCACCATATTTTCCAGAAGCCAACAAAGCCAGAAACTAGCAAAAGGATAAGATAAGCCTAAACCTCCAATAAAATTCTAGGTTTGTATGTTTTAAAAGATGTTTAAGGGCATCATGATGGAATTTTCCAAGCCATGTGTATAAATATCCACTTACAAAATCATTGGAACTCCACCCGCAAGCATCGCCCCCACGGGACTCAGAGTCATGGCTCAGAATTGTGGTTCCATTTTGGGGGCATCATCGTATTATGTAAACATCATCATTTCTTTTGTCGCATGGATCCAAATACCTTCTTTCAATGCATTGGTTTAAGGGAAAATCTACAGGAAACCATAGATTCTCCCATTAAATATGTGGTTTTCCTGTAAATTTTCCCTTAAACCAATCCAGTGATTCTTAAGAACTGTCAGTTTTGGGTATCACTTTTGGGGTTGCGTAGCTTCCGTGCTCCAAACGGAGCCGGACTTGAAAAAAGTCGTAGGAGGCATGCCTACGACATCCAAGAGCAGAAGACTCCGGGGAAATTTTGGTTGTTACAATGTGGGGCCCCCCAGTTATAAGTTGGTTTAGATTCGCCCCAGTAACTATAGTTATTTGCGTACCATAAACCATAGTTATTGGAGTTATGTGCACCAACTTAGCTATCTAACGGGGGCCCCACATTGTAGAAAATGATGGAAAATGCAATCCACATCTTTGGGTGCACCGACTGTTTGTTCGTTTCCCCGATTTGGATTTCACCAATGAAAAAGGTGACCCTAAACCCAAAATCACAGAGGATTAGTTTATTCGCCCTTGTTGTAGTTGGATGTTGTTGGTGTCTAACAATCCCTACAAGGTTAAATAGGGATACTGCTCCCAAATGATGCTTAAGTATGGTTAAGTTGGTTTATGACTATAGATTAACAATGATTAACAGTTATTACATAGTGTAAAAGAATTAAACTATAGTTAGTTTAACAATGATGGTTAACAATGATTAAACCAGTAGGTGTATTACTAAAACTATGCTTTCTGGTGTGCTCATTAAAAAAGCCAACTTCTGGGGGGAAGCACCTTGGATACCAGCCAGCACCCTCCAAACGCGTACCAGGAAGACAGTGGAGCGGAAGAAGTGATCGATGGAAGGACCTCGCATAAAATCAAAGGAGAGAAGAAGAAGATTGAGGCCATAGACGTCCCAAATTCCCATTGGTTGATGAAAAAAGAGGGGCTTGAAGAAACCCCTTTTACCAAAAGGACATTATTGAGGCCTTGGGACCATCTTGGGACCTCAGGACCTTAGGACCCAAGGGGGACCGTTGGGAACATGAAAAAATGGTGTCATCAAAGATGGCAATTGGAAATCCTATGGAGCTTGCTGGGAGAATCATCTATCAATAGTGCCATGTTTGAGTAGCGGGGGGTACATTCCTTCATTGCGTGACAAACATCCTGGAGTTTTGGGCGACGCTTCTGTTCATGGTGATTCTAAAAATGAACAAAAGACACACCAAAAACATTTCAGAGGCGATTCAAGAAAAAAACAAGTACCACCATATTTCCACATACATGTGCCAATGTATATGTTTATATGAACAAAATTGAAGACTATGACAATGTCATGGTGGATATCTTCATCAATTAGGATTCCATGTATGTTTCATTTCGGCAACTGGTAGCCACCTCAGATGCTTAAGATTGGAGAAACCTATACCATTATATATATATAAGGCCTATATGTTTGGGTTATATAAGGGAATATCCCCCACAAACTACGTCCTTTTTTTGGGCAAAAAAAGGGTACTGAAATTCCCAGTTGATCTGCCCATGCTGTGTTCGCGTCGCGTCAGGTGAGTGACTTCTTTGATGATTTGATGGAAGGTTTTGCCGAGATCTGGAGGCTTGGCGTTTCGCCCAATGAATTGGTTGGAGTTGAGTGAATAAATTAGTATATAATTCATATAATAGTTAATAATTAACCCAAAAAATAATCTAATCTTCATATCATATAATTCATACAATGTAACATATAATTCATACAATGTGAGGCCCCCCAGTGATGTTTGTTGGTTCAGATTCGCCCCAGTAACTATAGTTATTTGCGTACCATAAACCATAGTTATTGGAGTTATGTGCACCAACTTAGCTATCTTGGGGGCCTCACATTGTACAATTCATATAATATTTAATAATTAACCCCAAAAAATAATCTAATCTTCATATCATATTTATATAAAGATGACAGTCTCAATGGCCATTGAAGCATGAGGAAAATGATGGTGTTCCAGATTTGCCGCAGATAGAACTGGCAGCATTGGTTTGCCGCAATAAGAATACTGGTTGGTGGTTTGGAACATGAATTTTATTTTCCCCATTAGTTGGGATGATGATCCAATCTGACTTTCATATTTTTCAGGGGTGTCAAAACCATCAACCAGAATATGTGCTATCACAGGTTTGAATTCTGCAGGGCAATGGTTCCGATTGATCCGGTTTCATGTCCAGCGTTTCTTTTGCACAACATGCAGAGCTGTTGCAGAATGAAGGGATCCGGTCATTACCCACTGGTTATTTAACATAGCCATGGAAAATGGCCCATAGAAATAGATGGTTTACCTATTTAAAATGGGTGGATCTTTCCATGGCGAACTGTTAGTCATAACCAGAGGGTATCATGTTTCTTCCAGAAGCAGAAAAACTCGTGGCCTTGGAGAAAATCGAAATCATCATCTCCAGCATCATCTGGAAGAATAGAAGGTGCTGAAAATTGAAAGCCTAAGATATATGTTCAGCATCCAAGCCCATTTCAATGCGCTACTTTAAGGGATAGCTTTGGGATGATCAACACATATCAACACTAACAATCTGATGTAAATCCTCCAGAAAAATAGAGGATTTTTCCCTATTGGAACCAGCACCCCGTCAGGTTGACGGTTGCCGGGGGTCATTCCTTTGCATCCTGTGCCGCCGATGATGAAGGGGGTGAAAGGATGGGTTTATGGCTGTCTCAGCCATGGGGTGCACTTTTTCACTAGTTTTACTCGTTTATAAACTACCAAATGGGTGCACAATCACTAGTTTTACTTGTTCATAAACATGAATTTTTGGGCGAAACAACATTGCAGAGCGGGTTTGGGCTAAACAACATTGCAGAGGGGGTTCGGGAATCGATGTAGATTCCGAAAATCTTCAAAATATGTCGAAATGGTAATTTTGAAGATGTTCAGAATCTACATTGAGTGTCAGCCAGGAGGATTTTCTGACTTATACAAGTCAGCGATTGCCCCAAGATTCAATTTATTCGGGTTTGACCCTAATAATTGCACTCACTGGTCAGAACATGTCACAACTATTCATATGGCTTGCTTTGTCAGATCATCATCAGCCACCAAACAGACCAACAACAAATGTCTTTGAGAGTGGTGGGAAAACTTCGCATTTGGGGATTTGAAACATCAACTTGAGATGGTTCTCCTCATATATACGTATGACACACACACACACGTATGTATATATATAATTATATGTGTGTGTGTGTGGTGTGTGTGTGTGTGTTTAAAATGTACAATACACATATAATTATGTGTGCATGCATGTTTTGGAATCGTAGAAGATCTTTGCGTATATTGTGCAATTATGTGTGTGTGTATATGTCTATGGAAATGCCAGGTGTGCGTCGAGTGGCGTATCCCTTGAAGGTGTGGGTCCCGTCGTTGGTTTTTTTAGTGGGTCCCCTGGATCCCTGGCCATGGGAAATGGTGGGACAATTATAAAATACCGTGTAGCAACCTCCAAAAGATAGAAAAGTTGCGAATCATTAAACACATTCAATCAATCTATATAGTCACTGAAGTTTAAAAACTGTTACATTTGCTGATTTATCAAATGTAAAGATTGCATGTTTATATATGCAGTTTTGAATTGCACATATATATGTTGCTTTCATGTTAGCAAATCCTCCATAGATCACTATCAAAGGACGCGTTTTCCAAGATCATTGAGCACCAGAGGGCATCGAGTCCACTTACTATGGACCGATGCGGCAAACTGGATGGTTTGGCGGCTTCAAGTTGGAGAGATTGACCTGCAACCATGAAAATTCCATGTCATGATGGAACAGTTGACACCCATATGTTGGTTGGCCAAAACTGCGTTTTTGCAAATAGTGTGTGTGTGTGTGCAGTTTCCTTGCATAGGCATTTCAAGGATCCAACACGTATTGTTTGGGATGTGAAGTGTGTTGAAATGAAATCATGCATGTGTTAAAGGTGGGATATTAGAACCGGCCCTTCACTTTTGACGAGATAGACTCCACAAAGCTTAACAATGTGCCCATGCTACTGATGGCTTTGGCTCGGATAGTCGGTAGTCAGAAGACTTCTTGTTCCTATGAGGGTCAGCTCTATTCGTAGCCAGAAGATTGGAGAAGCAAGTAGGATCAAGTAGGCATGTTTGGATGCTATGTGGGTTTAGATATCTTAGAGTGAGGTTCAGACTGCCAGCAGCTCAAAATCAAAAGGCAATCAAAATCCAACTGTTGGAGTGACTGGTAACTACCTTAGCATCACTTTGGATTTGCCCAAGATGATCTTGGATTCTTCCATTAGTTTCTGTAATCCATCAATTGAGGAATCTACTCCGAATATGTGTCTATATAGTTTATTATTTTATGCATTTGTTCAGCAAATCCAAGTCATTCAATTCTATTCTATGAGTCTGAAATCGAGTCCAGGAACACTGATTCTACAACCCTCTCAAGACCAGGAAGTTCCAGCAAAACAAGAAACATGTGGCACCATCATACACCCATTGAAACATCTGAAGATCAACCTCACTCATCATCTGCCCTGCTTGTCCACGCGCCATGACGTCGCGGCATGAACTGGGGGTGCATTTACCAGCATTTGAGGTGGGATCCAAGCTTAGCACGGTACCCTGTAGCAAAATGATGCCCCAACTGCTTATTGTTAGAGGGTACCTCGATTTTCCGCATCATTTGGGTTCCGAGATGTTGGGATATGAAGTCGCAGGAACTACGATACCTTGATATCACTGATATGGTCAGTGTCTCATGAATGGCTGTGAAGACTGCCGCAACCAAAGATTTATGTGGGCATTCTGGGACTCAGATCCCCTGCGTTCCCTCCAACAGAAAGCTATGGGTGGGGAGGCAGCTGTTACCATCAAGATTGATCAAGTCTTGGTTTGCTTTATGTGGCTCCAAGTAAGAATTCACTTCACCAAACATCAGGCAATTGAGTTGGTTGACTATCATGACTGGTTGGTGGTTTGGAACATGAATTTTATTGTTCCATTTCATATATGGGATGTCATCCTTCCCATTGACTTTAACTCCATCATTTTTGAAGATGGTTATTGCACCACCAACCAGGTTATGATTAACCATCATTAACCACAATTAACCATCATTAACCATATGTTAACCATATATTAACCATATATTAACCATATATTAACCATCATTAACCATATATTAACCATCATTAACCATATATTAACCATATATTCACCATATATTAACCATATATTAACCATATATTAACCATCATTAACCATATATTAACCATATAATAACCATATATTAACCATCATTAACCATATATTAACCACATATTAACCATATATTAACCAACATTAACCATAGATTAACCAACATTAACCATATATTAACCATCATAAACCATGAGATACCACACAACACAATATATTACCCAGCTTATTGGGGATCCCTAAATCAGAATGTCCTAGCTTCTGGGCTCGACATGGGCCCAGATGACGAGCCGATGTTTTTTTTTGCAAAACCCTTTTGAAATCCACTGTCCACAGGAATGACACATTTCTGTGGGATAAGGAATCCCTTTACCAAGAACATTTTGCTACATACAGTTTGCAGCCACTCCAGACATGTTTGCAAGACAGCTTTGGAAGACCTCTATGACGCACCCTGAGAGAAAAACAACCAGCTTTTCGACCACAGTTTGTAAGATTTTGGTTTCCCATTTTTCCCTTCTCCTCACCCATCACCCAACCTTGCGCAAAGCGTCTGACGTCATGACGCAGGTTACATCTCATCATTTGTATTTGTAGCTACGCATGGAGGATCCCAATGAAACCGCAAGCCATTGGAAGGTGATTGCAGACGAACTTCCTCCGCCACCCTTTTACCCACAGGTTGGAGGGGTCGTCCATGGCCATGCAAACGGATGCCGGGTGAGACTAAGGAATGCATCGTGTTTGATGTTCTTTGAGTAGGTTTGACTTAGAGTTTTAGTGTAGAATGTCTTCAAACTATCGCTGTGAGAAAGAGAAAAAAAAAACGGTACACGATTTGTTCTATCCTTTTTAACCCTTGATTCCATCCTCTACATTCTTTTGCAAGGTCCAACCTGCCGGATTTTGCATTCCCTCGGACATCCTCGGATACGATGGGATCTCAAGCCACAACAAAAAAGGCCACTGCGGTCACGCCATTACTAAATGATCCACAAGAAGGGATTGAAAGTTGTACTTACTAAGCCACCAACCCCCCAAAAAAAGCCCAGTTGGAGGCTTGTTTGCAAGCCAGTTGGGCCGCCAGTTGGACCATTTTTTCAATGAATCCATCCCATTGTACGCTTGGTACATGGCCCCATTAACATCCATGAAAACGGACTGGGTTATCAGACTCCCCCAGAAGCCAGGTCCGTTTCTATTGCCCTCTAGTTGCTAGTTCTGAACCAATCAACATGTTGTATTTTCCATGGCTCAGTCAATGGACCTCCAATGGTCCATCTAAGAATCTAAATGAATCTAAGCACCTGGAGGATCCACGGATCCTAAGTGATTAATAAACATGGTTGATATGTCCCCAGTCACTGCCTTATCCCATTTAGAACTGGGAAACTAGCACCACACACATTAACCACTGACTTAGCTGTGGTGATGCTCAGAGTTGATTCCATCGAAGTCAGATACTCATACGTAGATGGGCCATGCGACTAGCTAATTGGTTAGTAAGCGACTTTAAACCCTCGAACTATCCCCCAATTGTAATCAGACATTGAGATAGTTCATCATAATCCATTTTCGAACTAGTTAACTATCTCCATATCCAAGCAGATAATAGTAGATGACAGGTATATTATATATATATCATATACTGGTTGGTGGTTTGGAACATGAATTTTATTTTTCCATATATTGGGAATTTCATCATCCCAACTGACGAAGTCCATCATTTTTCAGAGGGGTTGGTTGAAACCACCAACCAGATTAACTATTAGTTATAACTGGTGATTTCTATGGGATTATACATTCAAAAAAACATGGGGTATACCACCAACCAGATATAGAAATGATAACCATCATGAAAACCATCATCATAACCATTAATATTAACCATCAATATTAACAGTATAGATTAACCATAGATCACCCACTTAACAATGTCCTTAGGCGTCTGCCACGAGGCGAAAGCCTTCCCCGCACGCCCAACGTCGTCGTCGTCGTTGCGCCCGTTGCGCCCGGCGGCGCAACCGGCGTCCCGCGCCTCCTCTGCGCCCGCGCGGCCGAGTCGGTCCCAACGGTCCCAAGGCGGGCGAGTTCAGAACTGAAGGAACTGAAGTAGGGAAGATCTTACCAACAAAATGGTGATGTAATGGTATGTAATGGTGATTTAATGGTATTTAATGGTGATTTAATGGTATTTAATGGTGATTTAATGGTATTTAATGGTGATTTAATGGTATTTAATGGTGATTTAATGGTATTTAATGGTGGCTGAGAATGGTGATTTTACGTACATTCTGGTAAACATAGAAAAAATGATGGAAAATCACCATGTTCAATGGTTAAATCCACTATAAATGGTGGTTTTCAATAGCTATGTTAGATTACCAGAGGGTACATTCTTACATTCAACATGATTTATCATGTTTTTTCACGATATGTGATCAACAAAAGTGGTGTGTATAATGAATATAGTTATTATTACTATTATTACTATTATTATTATTACTATTCTTATTCTTATTATGATTATTTTATATATATATGTGTGTGTGTACCCGATTGGTGGTTTGGAACATTTTTCATTTTCCCATATATTATTACATATTGGGAATTTCATCATCCCAACTGACGAACTCATATTTTTCAGAGGGGTAGGTCAACCACCAACCAGATATATGTATGTATATATATGTGTGTGTATACGCTTTGGGGATACGATGCGGGGTTGGTTGAATGATATCGAGCTCACGTCGGGACGTCACTGGAATGATGCTGTGGCCGAACTTTGAAAAGGTTGATGAATCATAATATGGGTACCCTCTGGTAAACATACAAAAAAACGATGGAAAATCACCATTCTTAATAGGTAAATCAACTATGTCTATGTGCCATTTTCAATAGTTCAATAGCAACTGTTAGTTTACCAGAGGGTATGTGTCAAAATTGAGTAATGTGGGTGAAACAATGCCACAATATGCCACAAACCACCCGTTTGGGAATGGTTTATACCACCATATACCAGCTATTTATGGTGATTTGGGGGGGTGGTTTATTATCGTTTTGCCTACAGTACCCCAATGATTGTATGGTGAATACTGAAAATAGACTCAAATCTGTGGTCCCCCAGGTCTTTATTTTTGATCCATACCCATATGTTTTCCCAGATGAGTTGTGCGGGAATCAAAAATATTGTATAGGAATGGGATCAGAATGGATATCACATGAGAATAGCAGCAAAAACATCAGCGGAGCATAGAACCAACCATGTGGAATATCTCAAGCAACCCCCTGCAAAACTGGTTCTCAGCTTTAAATTCTTGGAGAACTGAACCTATCCAAGTTGCTTGGTAAAATGGTGTGTGAAATGGTAAGTGTTTTTGAACTGGTGGTGCAACCTACCTGTAGGATGGACATTTGGGAGACCATGCTTAGTGAGTAAATGGACAATTTCATTGGAATATAGTGTGTATATATATATAGTATATATATAGTTTATGAGCCATGTCTCACTGCAAACCATAGTCACTACCCTCTGGTAAACATACAAAAAACTATGGAAAATCACCATGCTATTCATGGGAGATTTCACGAACTAAATATGGTGGATCTTTCCATAGTTATGTAACAGTCATTACCAGAGGCTACATCCCATCTAGAAATCACCAGATTTTTCTTGGTTTTTTATTCCATTAAACCACCATTAAACCACCATTAAACTACCAATAAACCAAGTTAACTAAGTTCACTGTTACTCCATGGCCCAAGGTGCTGGGCTGCCAGTGGCCATGCAGCACGCGGTGCAATATGCCAACAGGGCCGCCACCGCAGCCTGGGATCTCAGGGGCGGTTTACCCATGGGCGCGGGTGGTTTTACCATGGTTTAATGGTGGTTTAACCATGAAAAATGGTGGTTTAATGGGATTTAACTATGAAAAAGGGTGGTTTAATGGGATAAAAAAAACAACAAAAATGGTGATTCTAATGGGATTTATTCTCTGGTAATTTGTTACATAGCTATTGAAAATGGCCATAGACATAGTGGATTTTCCCATTGATAGCATGGTGGATCTTTCCATAGTCATGTAAATGTTTACCAGAGGGTATCAGGAACTTTGATTCTTTTCATGAATCTGCGATAGCTCTGATTGCCGTTTTACCGATGGTTTTAGCTGTTAGTTTCTACCAGCCATGAGCAAATCCCACAGCTTTGGAGAAACTATGCCACATATTGTTGACATTGGTTGGTCTTATATATATATCCATACAATAAATATACCAATGATGGCTGTTTTCATGCCAAAATGATCCAAGTTGTATGTTTGTTTAATGCTCGATATATGCTCGATATATCCGATTATATCCCTATTTAGATGAGACCATTTGATGCCTATTTATTTTTCATCATTTTAGATTGTTACATCCCTGTTAAATGTTCACAGAGTTATTTTCACATAGCTTGATATATATATATATATTATATAACCATTCCTTCGTGCATGAATGATGGTTACAGTAAATCCCCACTTAGATAGGCCATGGCATTAGTCAACTAGTCAGATGGATGATACTTGGGGATAGTCTGTTTTTATTTTCCCCTACCAGCCAAGTAGCTAATCCGCCCCAAGTATGGTTATGGAATCAACTATCAACTGATGGTTGGCATGGTTACCCTCTGGTAGACTAACATAGCTATGGAAAATCACCATTTTAATGGGTAAATCCACTATGTCTATGGCCATTTTCAATAGCTATGTAACAGTCATTACCAGAGGGTAAATCCCATCTAGAAATCACCAGATTTTTGTTGCTTCAATCCCATTAAACCACCATTTGTCATGGTTAAATCCCATTAAACCACCATTTTTCATAGTTAAATCACCATTAAACCACCATTTTTCATAGTTAAATCCCATTAAACCACCATTTCATGGTTAAACCACCATTAAACCACCATTTATAGCCGAGACCACGACGGGCACGGGCGCAGAGACCACCAGCTCGCGCGCCTCGCTTCTGAGCGCTGCGCGCAAGCACGCGCGGAGGGCGGCCTTCGAGGCTCTGGCGAAGTGGCTCGGTGGAGGCCGTGCCGGAAATCCATGGGGAGAACTATGCGGTTTTTCTATGGAAAATAACAGAAGTATACTATGGTATTTCCGGAAACTAGGGGGAGACTAGCACAACTATGGGAAAACATCATGGAAAACAACGCCAGAAATCTGGACCGTGATGTGACCACGGGTCCGTGGGTGTCCGTATGAATCGAATCTCTTCAAAAGGCAGAAGAAAAACACACCAAACATATCCAAAAGTCACATGATGAGTCACATGGTTGAAAATATCTTCAGAACTCATGGGCGGAAATACTCTTTTCAAAACCCAAAGCCCATGGTTGAAAAAAAACGCCAAGGTTTACAACATAGCAGGGTCCAGGTTTCCAAGTTTCCAGCTGCTGATGGGCCATGGGATTAGCAATAGCTGGTGAGTTTTGGTGGGTTTAAATATGTTTATATAAACCACAAAGTATTCCCAATATGGCCAAATTATAATGCACTAACTAGTTAGTAAGTGGGTTAGAAACGCTATATCCCATTTACTTTAACATACTATAACTAATAACTAGTTAACTAGCTCCATGCCTAGCTAAGTAGATTTGGCGATGACGGTTGTGGCGCAAAGAATGATGTGACCCTGCTATTTCTAAATGGGATGATAGTCCCAATCTCTAGGCACTTCTCCAAGGACAGCTAGTTTAGGATGCTTATCAACTCCGACATTAATTTCAAACTAGTCATAAACACAATCAAATAAGATCAAATAAGATAAAACGTACGTTCCGGCAAACTAACAAAACAATACTGAAATCCATGGTGGTTTCCCGTTCAGGACAGGTATTGGGGGAAGACTTAAAAAGCAACTACATACATGCATGCATACCCATTGTCCCCATGACAGTTGCAGTTGTTGATGGATTACCCGAGATTACACACAATTAGATCACCTTGTTTACACATTTGAACCACCATACCAGGTCACCCCTCTTTAAACCACCATCAAACCATATTAAACATTATTGAACCACCATCAAACCAAGAGTTTACCACAATGAAACTACCATTAAGCCATATCAAACTAACATAAGTATGGAAAATCACCACGTTTAATGGGAAAACTCACGAACTTTCAATGGCCATTTTCAAGTTCGCAAAGTGTTGATATAACCAGAGGGTCATATGAAACCACCATAGTTTGAAGGTCATGGGATTCTCAGGTTGTCGTTGACAGATCACGTGGCCGCGCTGATGCAGCAGCTGGGTTTCCGTTGCTGGGAGTTTTCCCTTAAAGCAATACGGGGAGGTTGGAGTATGCTTTAGTTGGGTACAGATATAAGAAATATGTTCAGACCTCAATGACCTCAATGTATAACAATATGGAGGTTATGGCTAGGATCAAGGGGAACTATCCAATTTTATGGCCAAGTTTTTCAGACCATTGGCCAATTTTATGCCAATGGCATTGCTGCCTGGCTGCTCCAATTCCGGAATTGGAATCCAGAGGGCCAGGATGACCCCCCGGCAAAGACGTCCGATTTTGCTGATCAATTTGGCCAACGATGACAAGGGGATCATTTCTGGTAAAAATTGTTGGGTTTACTATGGTTTACCATGGAGAAAAAAAAAACATTTCCTAAAATTTCCATCTGCTGAGGCAACCTCTACCAATGAAAGGCTACAAAGCTCAGGAGACAACTCGTGGGCTTTCGTGCGTCGCTCAAAACTGACTCCGTTGGGATGGTTGGGAGAACATAACGTTGGGTGGTGCCCCAGTTCGGAATCGCTAAGTTGGTGAACATAACTATAACTAAGGCAGATATAACTAATGATATAACTATAGTATTCATGGGCTTTATAAACTGACCTATAACTGGGGGGGCACCACTTTGTAATCTTGCTCAATTTGGTAAAGATTGCCTTAGACTTAGTTTGGTTATCTTAGATTGTCACTTGGGAGGATTCCCACTGAAGACCTTGGTCTAAACAAGATGTATAATTGCACTTCTGTACGTCCACAGCCCGAACAACATACATTAGATTACACTAAAACATATATGATCATATGTGCTCATATTGGCATGCATCCATACATAGATACATGCATAAATAACATACATACATGTATAACATACATACATACATACATACGTACGTACGTACGTACGTACGTACGTACATACATATATAACATACATACATGCATGCATACATACATACCTACCTACCTACCTACATACATTACATACATACATTACATACATACATACATACATTCATACATACATACATACACAGACATACATACATACATACATACCTACATACACATACATACATACACATACATACATACATACACACACATACGTACATACATACACATACACATACATACATACACATACATATTACATATATACACATTCATACACATACATACATACACATACATACATACACATTTACATACACATACATACGTACATACATACATACACATACATGCATGCATGCATGCACACATACATACATACATACATACATACAGACACACACACACAGACATACATACATACATACAGACAGACAGACAGACAGACATACAGACACACAGACACACAGACAGACAGACACACACACACATACACACATACACACATACACACATACACACGTGCGTACGTACGTACGTATGTATGTATGTACGTACGTACGTACGTACATACATACATAAATATATATATACATATATATATTATGTGTCAGATATCACTTTTGGTCGCCCCCCAATCCAAATTGCGCTTCCTGTCCATGTCAAGATCCCAGGCATTTTTTGCACCCCGACACGTGCCAAAACTCAAAAGCTTGGGACTTCTTTGTAACAGAAAGTCAACCGATGGATCTTGTAGCATACATGGGAACCCCTAGGGGCTTTCAACATGAGGATATCCAAGAGAGCCCTTAGGTTGGCTTCAAAGCTGGGGTTCGGGACAACGCAGGAGGGAGATTACAAGAAGACCTCAAGTGCTGGGCCTTTGCCCATGTGCCCGCTCCACATGATGATGCCTCAGACAACCACGCAGACCTTGAGCAGTCTCTTGGCAGCAACATGACTGGATCCAAAGAGGATTTAAACAAAAACTGGGTCTGATAGGGTACCCTTTGGCTAACTAACATAGCTATGGAAAATCACCATTGTTAAATAATAGGTCAATCAACTATAAATGGACCATTTTCAATAGCTATTGCCAGAGGGGACCCCCAATTTTTTCCATCTTTTCCATGGCCAAACCACGAGCACACCCATCTCAGATTCGGCACGGATGTTTTTTTTCTATGCCTTGGGGCCACCAGTGATGGGCGCAGGGGTTTAGATTCGCTACATGCTGTGCCCATAAGTATTGTAAATCATGGGCAATCCACAACTTTGACCAACATTCGCACTCGGCATTTCTACATAGAAGGTGAAACAGTGGCATTTGCAAGCCATATAGATATGAAGGTTCGTGAAAACTACTTCTTGGATTCAAAGTGATTCAAGTATTTTAGTTTCCATCTTAGCTCTGCTGATTTGACGATTCAGCAGGTTATGGACCTTTGGAAGAAGCTGCTTGCAGAGGTATTCGCAGCGCGCAATGGCACGGCTATCAGACCCTCGGACTGCATCCTCGGTGGAGGGGAATTTGTTCAACACTTTTTCCCGACGGAAGTTATGGATGGTATGGGGTGGGAAGGGGTAATATTTTAGTGGATGGTATGGGGTAATATGATGATGATAACCTAATTTTTCTGATTTACTATGATTTACTTTAATTTGTTTAACTATTATTCGAATGGACCCCTATCTGATCCATTCGGGCATTGTCGGAATGAATTCTGTTTGGAATTCAATTTTTGGAAGAGCAGCCAAAAAGAAAAAGCTGACCATGCCGACCCCTCCCAAGATCTCTTGGACTACACTCTTTTGTAGAAGTTTTTCGAGATTGCTATGGCACGCGCCTGATGTTGAATGATCCCCATATCTATTGGGAATGAATGGGTTGAAATCACCAAGTTATCAGGGGGGGAGCTTCCGGGTCATCAGGAAAAACGGCAACTCCGCGTACAATGAGCAGGTCACCGATCTGGGAACGGTCCGAAGCTGCTTAAAAATCAGAAAAATGGAAACCAAGTCCTGATATCTTTGGATATCATTGGTTCATTTGGTTTCCATGGACTTGGTAATGCCTGAAAAATGATATCCAATGGAAAATCAGAAAAGAATCATTGGATATCATTGGTTCATTTGCCTTCACGGGGTCCATTGGGTCCATGTCATCCGAAGCGGTGTCCATTTTTTGGACCTTTCGGATCTTTAGGTCTTCCGAGGTACAGTGCCGTGCATCAAACAGGGCAATGCCATATGCATGTTTTTCCGGGTGGAAATCATGGAAAATCAATGGAAAACATATGAACAGAGATTGACCATGTTTGGTTGTTCATTGTTCATGGCCTTGAATACCAGAGCTTAACAGGTTTTTCACCTGTGTTGCTGGCAGGTTGTCTACCAATCCCACCTCATGCGAAAGTGAGCTGCGTGGCCAAAGCGAAACGAACGGTTCCTCTCCTGCCAGAGGCAGACCTAAGGATCCCGATCCCTTTTTGGGGATAGTTGTGCGAACTAGGGTCAAATATGGTCAAATATTAGATATGATTCCAGGGAATAAGGGGGTAATAGGAGAATGTCCCCTATGTATTGAATCGATGTTGCTTTTCTGCACCAGTTGAAATCCAGACGCCCTGATCGTAAAAATGTCATCATTGTTTGCCCGCTAAAACATCCCGTAAAAATGTGGTGCTTGCTGAAAAAGTTCTTGGATTCAGCTGCAAACTTCACTACTGTGGATGGAAGAAATCCTGCACCAGTTGATAGAGGGTTTATCCCATTATTTACAGGTTTTCAACCATCTAAGGTGGTGCAGGATTTCTTCCATCCACAGTAGGTTTCATATTCAATGGGCCTCTAAAAGCCCTATGAATCCTGATGTTTTGGCATCTCTGATGCAAACATTTCGGCCCCCGGCCAAGCTGGGGTTCACGGCGAAGAAAAAAAAACATTTTTTACAGCGACATGACGTGGCCGGGGATGATTCTGGGGAGATGGGGATGATTGTATTTTTTTTGAATGGGTTATTGGCAACTGGGATATATGTTGTTACCCTCTGGTCATTTAACATAGCTATGGAAAATGGCCCATTTATAGATGGTTTACCTATTAAAAATTGTGATTTTCGATTTTCCATGGCTATTTTAAATAACCAGGTGGTAATTCATGTTAATTCCGGCTATTAATTCCTGCTATATTTGAGTTATCAGATACCCTTTGTCAATCTACAGTATCAATCAGTTAGGTATAGACAACACCATGGAAAACAAGCATTTTAAATTATCATTAAATAGAAACATTTACAGAAATCTTAATAGGAAAGCAATCATCTTACCCTCTGGTTAACTAACATAGCTATTAAAAATGACCATTTATAGTTGATTTACCCACTAAAAATGGTGAATTCCATAGTTATGTAACAGTTTACCAGAGGATAACCCATCTATTTACCATGATTTACCTATCTCATCAGATCACCATTAAATCACCAGATCACCATTAAATTCCATCAGATCACCATTAAATTCCATGAAATCACCATTAAACAGCCATGGCTTCTGAGATCCCCCTCTCGGGTATTTGGGATGATCCCAAGTGACTGCTGAACCGATTCTTCCGATTAGTTCATGAGAACGGACACACACTCATATCTATAATATATTATATTTTAGTCGTAGTATATTATAGTATAGTATATTATGTTATATTTTAGTATATTCTAGTATAGTATAGTATATTATATTATATTTTAGTATATTATAGTATATGATAGTATATTGTATTATATTTTAGTATATTATAGTATATTATAGTATAGAGATTCACGATTTGATGGCACACACAAAACGATACATTTATGCCATCCAAGAAGCGTTCATACCCCTCAACGAAAACGGTGGTGTATGATGGTATTCTAGGACCCCCCTTTCTGTGTGCTATATATTAAATTATATTTTAGCATATCGTATTATATTATAGTATATTATATTATATTTTAGCATATCGTATTATATTATAGTATATTATATTTTATGATAGTATATTATATTGTAAATTATATTATATTATAGTATGTTATATTATATTATAGTATACTACATTTTATTGTAGTATATTATATTTTATTTTACTATATTATATTTTATTATAGTATATTATATGTCATTATAGTATATTATGTTTTATCGTGGTATATTATATTATATTATATGTTATTGCAGTATATGATATTTTATTATATTATATTTTATAATTGTATATTATATTGTAGTATATTATATTATACTATTTTATATCATATTATAGCATATTATATTATAATATATTATATTTGATTTTAGTATATTATATTATATTATATTTTAGTATATTAAAGTATATTATTTTATATGTTTTTAGTATATTATAGTAGATGATAGTATATTACACTATTGTTTGCTATGTTTTAGTGTATTATATTATATTATATTTTAGTATATTATAGTATATTATAGTATATTATATTTTAGTATACTATAGTATATTATATCATAGTTCAGTATATTGTATTATATTATAGCATATCATATTATAGTATATTATATCATAGAATATTATGTTTGCGATAGTATATTATATTTTATTTTATGATAGTATATTATATTGTAAATTATATTATATTATAGTATGTTATATTATATTATATTATAGTATGCTATATTTTATTGTAGTATAATTTAAATTGTAGTATATTATATTTTGTTATTGCAGTACATTATATTTTCTTATAGTATATTATAGTTTATTTTAGTATATTATATGTTAGAATAGTATATTATATTATAGTATATTATATCATATTTTAGTATATTATATTTTATTGCAGTATATTTTTATTTTAGTATAGTATATTCGATTTTACAGTATACAATATCATATGTACATATGTATAGATATTGTTTATGCATATTGTATAAAAGGGAAAACATGTGAGATCGAGAGACTAAGATGCCTAAGCTCTGGTTCTCCGCAGGTGAATCAGCTACCACCAAGACAGCTCCATATAGATGGATGGATGAATCAACTAACATACAGCTATTGAAAATGGCCATAGAAATAGTGGATTTACCTATTAAAAATTGTGATTTTCCATAGTTATGTTAGTTTACCAGAGGGTAACTGAACTCTTTATAACTACAGTTGTGTAGCTATAACTAGGTTACAACTTCATGTTCAGCATGAAAACCTTTTGGTTCGCCAGTCAGTAAAAGCAATTGAGCTAAGAACTTAGCGGGACACCATCTTGAAGTTATGTGTGTTATACAGGATCTTAACCGAGATTCTTAGGAAAATATAATCTTGGTTAATAGGCCATATATTGGTTAATAGCCACAATCTCGTTAGCAATCTTAACCATTTTTTATGTGTGTTATATATTGTTAGTCATGAAAAATACACTGGTTGGTTGGTTACAGGGACGTGCACTACCTAATTTGCAGGGGATTATGATAACCCATAATAGGGAAACCTATCAACCAACTCGTATGATGAGATGGGATAGTTGTTTTTGTTTTGTTTTATTTGGCTCATACAACAATATTATCCCTAAGGTATGTTGCAATTGTTTGATAAATTATATCACCAATAGCATAGGTTGAATATAGTGTTAACTAGTTTGTTTAACATATGTGGAAGTTATACAATATGTGTTGTTAACTAAATATCACCCGTCCCACTAGCAATGCAAATTGCAGTTGAAAAACTTTGTTGTTTAACGATATGCCATATGGTTAGATATATAACCAGCACATCGCAATCACGATTTTAAGTTTAACATCAGTTTAAAGGAGTATTATCACATTCCCACTTGACTTGACAAGAGTTGTCATATATACATTATACAAACAATGGATTGGTTTAAGAGAAAGTCTTAACCGGAAACCACAGGTTTTCCAATGAAGATCCTGGGGCTTTCCGGTTCATTTTTTCCCATTAAAACCAATCCATTGATACATGGGAACTACATTGTTTTACCACCATTAGGACCATTATACATTATCCAGATGAATTTCCCAGCTAGAAACCTCCAGTTATTTCATGGCAACAACTAGCCATGGTTCAATGGGTTTACCCTCTGGAAGCTATAGAAAGTGGCCATTTATAGTTGATTTACCTATTAAAGATGGTGATTTTCCATAGCCCAATAGCTATGTTAAATGACCAGATGGTATATCTCCTGTTGTTCCTTTGGCTCCTAGTTTAGCCAGGAAAGTGCCCTTCAAGCCATGGATGCGGTCAACGAAACCTCAAACCCACGCAGGATCCGACAGATGGTGGTTTTTGTCGGGCTCCAACTCGGTTCCCCCGAAAATCTTTAAAAAAGGTAGGAAAAACTTCCAAGTTAAGATGGAGAGTTGCAAAATCCCACTGAACTAGGCATAAATTGAACCGGTTCTATCTCTTTTTGGGGGCTTACGTTTAAATATGAAGAGAGATAGATTTTTAAATCCGAAGTCTGGGGTCAAACATCGGTGGATGGGATGGTTGATGTTTGGTGAAGGAGAAAAAAAAGGCCAGATTGGGTTGCTGTGCTTGTCATTGGATATATATATATACAGTGTATATATATACAGTGTGTGTATATATATACATATATATATATATTAATGATTGCATGTATCCCTTCTCTCGATCAGAATTTATATTCTCCCCAAACAGAAGGCCGATGAAATGTATTGGATCCATTCATGATTTGGGGTCCCATCGCCGTCTGATGTTTGTGGCGTGGTCAGGGCTGGTGGGGCACATCATGTGTGGTGCCCAGAGCTTGATGTTGGTAGGAAACAGGCCCATAACCTGGCTCTTTACGGGATGATATCTGGGCAAGGCACTGAAAGATCCAAGGACTTAGTAACTTTGAACATCTTTGAACGATGTTCCGTTGTACCGAGAGCGGAGCCTCTCTGCTTACCTCTACATTCACACCAGCGACCTTGATGACGAATACCTTTAACAGGACCCACCAAACATGTGAGATTGACGACCCCATCCCCCAGGGATAGGACTCAAAAAAACCCACTCATATGTTCCATCTACCGAATAGGTTTTAACCTTTACCGAAAAGGATTGATCCATTCGTTCTAACAGAGCACAACTGAGGCGCCCACGTTCGTTCACCAGTGAGACCGGCGATGATTTTTGCGGGATTATATTCGTTTCCTAGATATATTTGTAGATATCCTGAACAAGCCTAGTGTTCTTTCAGAGGCTTTGGATGTTTCTGTATCAGGGAACCATTCCTTCTATTGTGTTTCGCACTCTTTTAACTACTTGAGTTTCCTTGTGTTGGCGCCAAGTCCCCTCACACGGTCGTTGCGTCAACATTTCCAACAAGGAAATGGCAGAGTTTGTGGGGAAGGTGAAGATGGGAATTATTCAATGGATTTC